ACAATATACATATTTGTATATACCTAGGTATATATTTATATAAGCTATGGACACTTGACAAAGGCCTTAGTAGCAATGCATAATTCTCCTTCCCTATTTGGTATATACACATTTATGTCTACTAATCAATTTTTCCTCTTACCCCTTCCAATTACTCTAACACTACAGTAATCCTTATCTACAGTTTCACTTTCCATGGCTTCAGTTACCAGCAGTCACTACAGTCTGAAAATATTAAATAGGAAATTTTAGATGTTGTTCAACTCATAAGTTTTGAGTCAGGGTCTCACTCCATCACCCAGGCTGGAGTGCTGTAATGCAATCATGGCTCACTGCAGCCTTCAATTCCTGGACTCAAGCAATCCTCCTGCCTTAGCCTCCTGAGTAGCTGGGACTACAGGTACATACCACCACACCTGATTTTTTCCTTTCTGTAGAGATGTTTGCCCAGGCTGGTCTTAAACTCCTGGCCTCATGCAACTTTCCCATCTTGGTCTCCCAAAGTGTAGATTACAAGCATGAGCAATCATGCCTGGCTTCAATTAAGTTTTAGATTGCATGCCATCTGAGTAGCATGATGAAACCTTGAGCTATCCCACCCAGGACATGAATCACCCCTATGTCCAGTGTCTCTACCCATTATACACTACCTGCCCATTAATCACTTAGTAGCTATCTCAGTTATCAGATTTTTCAAAAACCAGTATAAACAGTGATCGGTACCATCTGCAGTTTCAGGTATCCACTGGGGTTCTTGGAATATATCCCCTGTGGACAAGAGGGGATGTCTGTATATAAGATTTTTATATCAAGGGAGGTTGTAATTAAGCAAGAGGAATAGTATCACACAGAAATGGATAGAATAATTTGTGAAACTTCTGATCTCCTCGGGAAGAGTGTGTGACTTCATTTCAACAGGAATAGCTGCTGCCTGACAGGCAGAATCATGATATTCTTTCTCTTTGGAAATTTAAACATGAGTTCAAGGGTGAGTATAGATGTATATCACAAAGGGTGAAATGTGCTGGACAGTGTCTGCTGAATATTCTGTACTATCCCCACCCTTCTGCTGGATACTTGTCCACAGAGATCAAATTAGTTTTCACATCTGAGTACCATTTATATACAATCTGAAAAGGAAAGAGAAGCAGGAGTATTCCCCAGTGGTAAATGCAATGAGGTTAACAGGCATCAGACAGCTGGTAAGCCCAATTTTCATGTAAATCCCTTCCTACGGAAATGACAACAGTGATTTCTGATTTCTTGACCAAACTCTAATTCAGCAGATAAAGGCACTAAAAATAATAATAAGGAATAGAAATGCTATTTGAAGTATAACTTAGGTTATTAAGTATTCTATTAAGCAACTACTGTGGTGAAATCATTGTGCCCAGGCAGTAATGTGTATGTCATTTAGACAGAGTCCATTTTCCCCCAAGTACTGCTCATGGACCAGTGGACCAGTGGACCAGTGTCCCCACTACACTGGACAGCACAAGGTAGATAGGAGAATTGCAAAAGGTGGCTATTACATTTTGTGAATGTAGTAATTCTTAATGATCCAAGTTTTGAGGCATCCTATTTGGGCAAAAGCCACGCCATGATTAGATTCTTTAATTTTAAAAATAGTAAAATTGACCGGGCACAGTGGTTCATGCCTGTAATCCCAGCACTGTGGGAGGCCGAGGCAGAGGGATCACATGAGCCGAGTTGGGGGACCAGCCTGGATAACATGGTGAGACCCTGTCCCTACAAAAAAAAAAAAAAAATTAGCTGTGTGTACTGGAGCACACCTGTGGTCCCAACAACTTGGAAGGCTGAGGTGGGAGGATAGCTTGAGCCTAGAAAGTCAGGGCTGCAGTGAGCTATGATCATGCCACTGCCTTCCAGCCTGGGTAACAGGGAGAGACCCTTTCTCAAAATTGTAATAATTTTTTAAAAATCAGCCCTATCCTCTGATAGAAGTAGGAATGCACGAACTATACAAATCTGTCCCTGCTGAGAAAACAAAAATAATTTAAATTCCAAGTATTATGTCAGCAAAGTCAATTCTGTATTCAGAGGCAGGCATATTTTCCCCACTTCAAGCACCAAAAAAAGACTACATATATGAAAAATTTCCTAAATTAATTTTTTTCAAATAAATGCTCTAAACTTCAGTAACACCACATGGGTCCAAGTTAACAACCAAGAACAATAGACAGAAATCCTACAAAGATTCCCGATAGTGCCTAGATTTCTACGGAGCAGCAATAAAAGTAAATTAATAAGATAAATATTGGATTTACATTTTATCCAAAGGATAAATACAAAATTAAGAGAGTTCAAATTCAAAGCAAATATACTTTAAATTTCAAAACAATTCTACATATAAAGTACAATAGGAAAAAAACCAAAAGCCCTCATAAATTAGAGTGGCTAGACACATTCAAGTCTAGCAGAAACTCAGAATTTAATGCAATGCTATGTCTCTTGCCTACACACTAAAGCCTTCATTGTCTCAGATATCTTCCATCTCCTTATGCACATTACTGGACGACAATCATGAATGGAGCTTTTTAATGAACTTGCCATATAGTAAAACACCAATGACAGATTCTACACTGGAATGAGAACAATGTCACCTAAAAGGGAGCTATTGGCAGAAATAAAAACTAGTGTACTGATAACATCTAGACCTCTGTAGATGTTTAGAGTACTGTACAATCTTAAATTATTGGATACCAACCTTTGAGTCTCACAAATAAGAATGTACTAGTTAACAACCAAGGAGTTATACCCAGTTCACAATACTGTTTCCTTCACTTGCCCTTTAGGTATAATGGATCTGGAATTCTCAGTGAGTGTTACATGCTTTGGGAATTATGGCAATTTTCCTTTCATGAGCTCCCTATACTTATTTCCATTTCAAAACATACTAAACTAAGTGAGAGGCAAAAATTAACTCCTAAAGATCCAAAGGGTACACAATACCTGTCAAATTTGATATGTCTGGGCAGGGTGCAGTGGTTCGCGTCTGTAATCCCAGCACTTTGGAAGGCCAAGGTGGGCAGATGACTTGAGGTGACGAGTTTGAGACCAGCCTAGCCAACATGGTGAAACCCCATCTCTACTAAAAATACAAAAATTAGCTGCGCATGGTGGTGGGCACCTGTAATCCCAGTTACTTGGGAGGCTGAAACATGAGAATCACTTGAACCTGGAAGGCAGAGGTTGCAGTGAGCTGGTATCATGCCACTGCACCCCAGTCTGGGTGACAGAGCAAGACTCCACCTCAAGAAAAAAAACTGGCAGGCCTGTGAGTTCCATTATAATAACTTATTTCAAGGCTGTTCTTTGGACTGTTGGATGCTTCTAAATTCTTCAGCAAACTGCAGAAATTAAAAGCATATTAAAATATGCCAATTGTTTTCATCCTGATAAGCAAAATATTTTTTATTTTATACATAGGGAAGCCAACTGATAAATGAATGGGGAGGAAATAACTCTAATTCCATCCAGACAGGATTTCTCTAATTGCTTATAAGCTCCCTATTTGGATTTGAGTCCGTATTTTCAGTTACACATCTATACTTCATATTCAAAACCTCCTAAAGTATAAAAGGGAAGTATGGCTACATAAAAACATTCTCTATGAGAAAATACCTAAGTAAACCCTGAAATTTGAGACAACGAATTATGTTAATATGAAGTTCACAAATGTGCCTTTTCAGCCTTGGAAATAATCTGTTGTATTCATGCTAACCAAAAAATTATAATAAAATTATTATATATACACTACCCGGAAGGGGTCAGCTGATTAAATAACTTACAGCCTAAAACTTTTCTGTATACTCTCACAAGATTAAGTCTGTAACTCCAGGATGCTTGTTAAGCTACTAAAGCTCCTACATCATCTTTTTAAAAAATGAAGGAAAACTATTAATCTTCAATTAATGAGAGAAACTTAACGTTTATTTTTTTCTCTCATCCAAACAAGTTAAAGAATTTACTTTTCTCTAAATGCAACTTCAATGAAAAGCAGCTGCTTAATTTTTAGGGAAATCATGTATTGGCTTTTAGTAAGCACTCAGTAAGTTCTTACTGAGAGCCAAGTGGGGAGAATTTAAAGAAAACCTCACTAGAAGTAAAGCTGAATTTTATGTCAAAAATGTAGGCTTTGGAAAAAATGACACACATTGGTGGGGCGGCCTTAGGTTCTGCTGCAGAAGAAGACAGAGGTAGAGGCAAAGGAGAGAGAGACACAGAGACCAAAGACTGGGCTGATCTACAAGCAGACAAAACAGCACATCTATCAATTCAAATCACCCTGCCATAACTGTCTCCTGAAAAACAAAGCAAGTGCTATAACCACTAGGGATAGACTCTAGCTTGCTATTCATAAAAGGATTCTGTAAGGGAATCTTTGCTCTATAATTAAGAGTGCCAGATATTACAGAAACTTTAGATTATCCTTCTTTTGCAACTATCAATTCACTTAAAAATTTTAATCATTGCGTATCCTGTAAACTTCCTATAAACAACATATTATTGCAAAATATTTAAAAAGATGTGAAAAAATATCTGTGGAGTGTGGTACAGAAAGGGCAGAGTCTTTGTTTTATCTAGTGATTCTTTCCCGAACCGAGAAGTTGGGGTAAAGACGTGGCTTTTTTGGTAATATTTAGGCAGTGATTTCTTATTCTTAAAATCAACAGTAACGAATAAAGTTTTGACATCAGAAATATTCACAACTAAAGTAGACACTGACTACATTCTTAGTACAATACAATTTTTAACATGACTACAAATGTATAGACACTTCAAATACTAGCGAATTGTCTCAAAATGAAATTCTAAGCAAGTTTTTGGTAATTTATTCATAGTTCAGGCTTAGTCACTGGACTTAACAAGACATGAGGAAGAAATGACCAACTGGCTCAGTAAAGTAAATATTCATTTCAAAAACACAAAACTGAAACAAAGCAAAGATGATTCTAAAATTTCCACCTCACAAGAAGTGTAATTTAAACAAATACCAAAAGCTTTATTTAAGCAAAAACACATTCAACCACAGAACATTCAAAAATCTAACAGAATCATTTCTACATTCATTCTGAAAACAGTATAGTAAGAAAGGTAATTTGAGAATTTCCAAAGATGTTCTTGCTAGCCATTATTTATGGTATACTACATAACATTTTGATATCAAGCTATTACAGACTTAAAAGTTAATATGGCATAATTATACAATCATGCTTTCACTATGATTTTTAACCCCGGATATTACTGGTTTGAAGCTAATATTATCAGTCTTATTGGTTGTCACTGTCACACATCTGAAGATATGTTTAAATTCATCAAGTTAGGAAGATATCAAAATATTAACAATCTTTTTAAGTACAGTGAGAAAAAAAGTGATTTAAATGTTAACGTTTCTAAACTTGGGACTCTAACAGTACAAACAAAGTAATCTGAAACCTGTTTCCATGGGTAAAACACTCTGCCAGGTATTCTTGTACACAAAATTTACTAAATATGTAAATATCATAAAATGAAAATATCACACTCCTTTCCATTTCTTCAGCCTTCACAAATTAAATGTGAACTATAATCCTTTTCAATAATACTTTTCAATGGCATTGTGCTTCTTTAGAAAAATCACTTACATTGTAGCATACGATAGTTAAACATTAATTATTTTATTGCTATGGTATATCCTAATTTTTTAAAAAAAGAGAAAAAAAATCCACCCAAATAACTTTTTTAAATGCTAAATCAAACATCTCATTTGGTTTTCTTTCTTTGAAGAATAATAGAAATAAATGTCAGGGGAGTATTACTAAGGAGCCAAAAAAAAAAAAAAAAGACTCCTGTCCTCCCATCCTCAGAACTCAGGACAAGACATCTGTATTCAAAAAGATAAAACAATCTCATCTCAGAAACTACCTTCTATGAAACCTAACACAGAAAATCTGTATTAGCTCTCTTAACCAACAGCCCCATCTGCACATCACCAAACGTCAGTTCCCTTTGGGTAGCAGTAATGCTTGTTTTTCATCTTTGCATATTAAGGACTGTTTTGACAGATTTATGGGTCATTTACAGCTCACTTCGCAAATACCTTTCACTTCTTACGAACACAATATATCCCCGAACATGGATCACTATTCAAGTAAACAAAATCACTCACTCACAGCACTTTAACAACCCACCTCCACTCCATCTTCCCGTTATCTCACCCAGTGCCTTTCAGTGAACCTAGTCTTTGCTAGTGATGAGCCAGTAAGGGGAGAAATACTGCTTTAAAGATGATGTAATTTTCAATGCCTGCCATAGTGACTTGCCCATAATAGGTATTAATACTTGTTGACATAGTTATAATAACCTAAAAATAGCTAACATTAATTTTTCTCTTTATGTTTTATTCCTATGGCATCGAATTTTTTTAAAAAAAAGACTGAAAAACTGATTGTAATCTAATAATCATTTACTGGGCCACATGCTAAATGACAGACATGTTCCCCTGCCTAAAAAGGGCTCAGAGGGTAAGGATCTCTCCCTTATATCTGAGTGAATTAAAACTTTAAATGTATTACAAGAAAAACTTTGTATATGAAGAACTTACGTAGAGTATCTTTTTTGAAAAATCAGATTTTCTTACTCTGTATTACACTGGTTTTAACTGGGCAAGCTCACTTAGTGGTTTGCCTCATTACAATGTCCCTTTTGTGTTAAGAATTAATTTATAAAAGCATTTAAAAATCACTACATCAAATAGGACAGAGAGTAAGAAGACGGGAGAGAGAGGAGAAACTATGTTTCTTGTTTTGAGTAAGGAGGGTCTCCCTCTGTCACTCAAGCTGGAGCACAGTGGCACAATCACAGCTCACTGCAGCCTCCAGCTCCCATGCTCAAGTGATCCTCCCATGTAAGTATCCCAAATTGCTGGGACTACAGGTGCAAGCCACCAGGTATAGTCACCTTTTAAAAAAAATTTTTTGTAGAGACCAGATATCACCATGTTGCCCAGGCTGTTCTCAAACTCTTGGGCTTAAGTGATCCTCCCACCTAGGCCTCCCAAAGTACAGGCTGGTATTACAGGCTGAACCACTGCACCCAGCAGAGAATCCATGGTTGTTTGGAAAATAACACTTCTTTGTTCTTAATTTTGGTTTTTGATATTCAGTTTAGAACTTACCCTAGCTTTCAGTATGTTGTGTATGTAAACATGTGCTTTAAAGAAAGACACACACAGAGGGAGAGACACAGAGATTGTGCACACTAATGATTGATTTCACTTATTAGTTTTAACTTAGAATGCTGAATCAAACTTTAAACTATAAGAAATGCTACAGGCTGGGCACGGTGGCTCATGCCTGTATCGCAGTACTTTGGGAGGCCAAGGCGGGTGGATCACTGAGGTCAGGAGTTTGAGACCAGCCTGGCCAACATGGTGAAACCCCATCTCTACTAAAAAACACAAAATTAACCAGGTGTGGTAATACACACCTTTTTAACCTCTACTACTCAGGAAACTGAGACAGAAGAATTGCTTGAACCCAGGAGGCAGAGGTTGCAGCGAGCCAAAACTGCAACACGGCCCTTCAGCCTGGGTGACACAGTGAGACTGTCTCAAAAAAAAAAAAAAGAAAAGAAAAAGAAATGCTATAAACCCAGACAAATAATATTTGTTAATACACCAAACAGAAGAAATGACACTATACGCACATTTAAACTAGCTGACTTACACAAAATAATCTTAGAAACAATTAAAGTAGATTAATATAGCTATAATAGCTACATATACGTAATGTAAATAGTGACTCTATTTTATTCTTAAAAAGATCAGGTTTCTAGTAACCACCTATGAAAGTCCATCCAAATTACCTCAAAATACACCAAATCTTTCTCTAACCCTAACACACAAGCAGAAATCTATGATTCTCTGGCAACAGCAATAGCTATTAGAAAATCTTAACCTCACCGAGAAGTTCAAACACCAAAAAACAAAAAGGAAAAGACTTAGCTTACTTAACTAATTGTGCTAAATAGTTCACCTTCACAATTTAAAAGTAAAAACCTTTGAAAAAGAAGGACAACCAAAAACAAACACACTCTCCTATAGCCCCAAAGATCTGGTCAGAAAAGCTCCATGAAGAAATTATTACTCACGATTTTGGGGGTATCAAATAACAACATTCTACTTTAAATATTTTAATCTAAATTGTCAACTTCCATTTCTGATACCTACAAGCTGAACATACCCCAGTATCACTCTATTTATATCTTCTTTATTCCTAAGTATATTTCAGGAGAAGAACACAGAAAATATAGAGAAAAAATACCTAGGATGTAATACGAAATTGGGTGCCTATCAATGTAAAGCATACATACCTTTTTCTGAGCCTAGCCTACCACATATACTTACAGTGAAATGATGAGGTCAACGACTTGCACATCTTCCAAACAATTGCAAATAACTTCCAAACTGGCACTAAGGGACTAGTTTTATGCAACAATGCAGTGAAGGAAAGTTAAAATTAACTATAGGAAATTCTTTCTTGTGACAAAGTTGAAAAGAATACTGAATATATCAATATTAATTTAATAGCAGCTCTCTGTTGTGATTTTAAAGAACAAGATAAAATTATGTCATTCAGAAGTCATTTTAAAAATAAAAGACTACAGATACAAGGAAATAAAAATCAGTTTTAGGAGATGAAAACAAAAGTAGAAGAATACCCAACATGTACATATCTCATCTTCAAATTTTAAATCATACTGTCAATTGTCCAAAGCAGCTCAAATTTAAAGTTTGTGCTATAAAACTGTGCAAATATGTTAAGGATTGGAGATCACCAATGCGCTACTATAATATTTTGCTTCCTAAATTTCCTCCACCTATAGGTAACAGACAACAAGTCTGAGAAACTAAGGCTAACCAAACTTAGATATAAATCCTACCAAGAAAATTTTTCAGTTTTAAGTTTTAGAGTTTGATTTAAAAACAAAACAAATTTCAAAATAAATCACATATTCTCTTTATAACTTCACAAAACCTTCCCTAACTGTCCAAATATGAGCATACACTGCCATTGGCTTTAGATATTACAATTAAATGCATTACTCTCATTGGTCTGAATGAAGTATGGTGAAACAAGTACCAATTATTTTAGAAACATACTGTCTTCTCAGTTTGAAGTGGAGGGTCCAGAAATGCAATGCCCAGCATTCTTTAAAGAAAATAATGGCTAAAATCTTTCTGATACAAATTCCAATATAGATTCCATTATTCAAAGTCCTCCACAAATTACTGGAAAAATATAAGAGGTACCTTCACAAAAATCACATATCGAGTGGAATAATTATAACTGATATATAAATAAGGATTTACTAAAAAAGGCTTCAAGGGATGATATTTTAAATCAAGGTTTTAAATACAAAAGGTGTCTTGTGTTGCTTAATCGTACAGAGTTTTGTACATTTTGTATATTCTTCACTCTACAGTCACAGATTTGGCAAGATTCCGTGGAAAATCAACCTGCAAAAAAAAAAAAAAAAATAGCAAGATTTGAGAGATCATACAGACTGGGGAAGGGGGTGGTTGCGATAAGCAAATTATTTTTGTTTATAAAAACAGAAAACAGTATATTCATTAACCATCTTTATTATAGACTACAAATAATTAGATTAGAAAACATAATCATATAATGGTCCTGAAGAAAACTGAAATTGGTTAGGAAAAAGCATTCTAAAGTTGCCAGTTCACACAGAAAGAGGTACTGTGGTCCCCTACAGAAGTACTAGCCCTCATAAGGGACACTAAAAACAAAAACACAGTGTTCTGGTTGCCACAATGACTGAGAAACCAGGAATGCTAAAAAGTCTCCAATGTGTGGGAAAGTTCCAAACAACAAAGAATTGTCCTGCCAAATGCCAACAGCTGCCCTATTGAGTGACACGGGGTTACAGTAAAAAAACGGGTGGAGATTCCTCAAGGTGACTCACAATCTTGGAGGTGAACCCCAAGGTATCTTCAAGTTCTATGGGTAAGATAATGTTGTGATGTAACCTACAAATTGGGTCATGAAAATTTAACAGGTGACAGATACGAATTTGATAGATTTCTCAAACACTACTGTTAAAAATTTAGGAGAAAAAAATCAGAATGTATCCAAGTAAAAACATCCCAAGATTTCTGCAGTGGTAGATGACTTACATCGTAGCCTCTCAGCACAGCAAGGTGGAAAGCCAGTAACTGTAAAGGGATCACGCTGAGAATGCCTTGCAAGCAGTCCACCGAGTGGGGCACCTTGATCGTTCTTTTTGTGTTCTTAATGGTCTCAGTATCCTCCTTATCACAAATTACCACAGGGCGCCCCTAGGAAAGAAAATCACACACATACACAACACCACTGGTTGGCAAAGGTAGGGCTATAGCTTATGAATGTGCAAAAATTGCACTGCGTAATCCATATGAAGCCTGACTGACAGACTTCTTTAAATTCCTATGTAGTAAATCTGATTGTTAGTACTTACAGTCAAGGAAACAGAAGCTTTATGGGATCCAGCAATTTTTTTAAACTCGTGCAACTAAGAAATACCAGGCTTAGTACTTGAATGCAGGTTTGCCTAACTTCAAACCTCAAGCTCATTAGTACTACATTGTGCTTAGGGAATATCATCTTTTGGAATTTATATATAAAGCCAACTGATCTGAAGAAAACTCAGTAATATTAAAATAAAACCTAGATGTTAGATTTCCCCTTAAATATATCATGTGTATTTTTTTGTTTTGTTTTTTTCAATTTTAATTTTTTTTTTTTTTTTTGAGACATAGTCTCGATCACCAGGCTGGAGTGCAGTGGCACAATCCTGGCTCACTGCAACTTCCATTTTCTGGTTTCAAGCAATTCTCCTACCTCAGCCTCCCCAGTAGCTGGGACTACAGGCATGCACCACCATGCCCAGCTAATTTTTTGATTTTTAGTAGAGATGCGTTTTCACCATGTTGACCAAGGTGGTCTCAATCCTTTGACCTCATGATCCGCTTGCCTCAGCCTCCCAAAGTGCTGGGATTACAGGCGTGAGCTACTGCACCCAGACTTTTTTCAATTTTATTTACTTTTTTAGAGATAGGGTCTCACTACTTTACCTAGGGTATACTCAAACTCCTGGGCTCAAGTGATCCTCCTGCCTCAGTCCACAGAGTAGCTGGGACTACGGTTACGTGCCACTGCACCCAGCTGAAACATATATTTAAACATATTTTAAAATACATTTTGAAATGTTTTAGAAGTATTAAATTAAAAGGGAGCAGCATATGTTAACCGAAAGAAGATAGGATGTAGAAACCAAGACCTCAGTTCTGGTTTGGTTCTGCCCAGTATGAGATCTACGACCTTGGTCTTCTGAAAACTCTAAGTATCTGGGCTGGACATGGCAGTTCACACCTATAATCCTAGCACTTTGGGAGGCTGAGGTGGGTGGATCACTTGAGGTCAGGAGTTTGAGACCATCCTGGCCAACATGAAACCCCATCTCTACTAAAAATACAAAATTAGCCAGGCATGGTGGTATTCACCTGTAATCCCAGCTACTTGGGAGGCTGAGGCGAAGAATCACTTGAACCCAGAAGGCGGAGCTTGCAGTGAGCCAAAATTGTACCACTGCACTCCAGGCTGGGCAATAGAGCAAGCTCTGTCTCAAAAAAAAAAAAAAAAAAAAAAAAAAACCCCTCCAAGTATCTGATTCCTCACACTCACACGTAAATATCAAAGGCTGTATTATAAAGTAAATGAGTTTAACACATGTAAACATGTTTTGCAAGTCATTCAAATAAGCGAGCATAACTGCCCTCTTTGATCCCCAAGGTGTACTCACAGTCCCCCGAATTACCTGCCGAGCAACCACTTGCTGAAGAGCATTCTGACACTTGGCATAAGTGTGATCTCTCATGATGATCATGATCACAGGCATCAACTTATCCACCAAAGCCAGAGGGCCATGTTTCAATTCACCAGCAAGGATGCCTTCAGAGTGCATGTAAGTAATTTCTTTGATTTTCTAATAGGAAAGAACCAGATTTGTCTTCAGCCCACTTTTCAAAAATCCATCTTTAAGTAAATATTATACAAAGCATCTGATATGTCAAGCCACTGTCTATTTATCCAAAGGTATTAAAGGACCACTGACCTATAAATGTATCTAACAAGTTAATAGATCACTATTTCTATAAGATCAACAAGTAATTGGAAGTTGTAAAGCTCTACAAGGACTTTTTAAAGATTTTAGATTATCATGAACATATTCATATTTCTTGGTAACTCTTCTCCCTCTTGCTTCACGTTTAACCTCAATTAAAAGAACTTTTTTTGGCCAGGCGTGGTGGCTCACACCTGTAATCCCAACACTTTGGGAGGCCAAGGTGGGTAGATCACAAGGTCAGGAAATTGAGACTATCCTGGCTAACACAGTGAAACCCCATCTCTACTAAAAATTTAAAAGAAATTAGCTGGGCGTGGTGACATGCACCTGCAGTCCCAACTACTTGGGAGGCTGAGGCAGGAGAATCACTTGAACCCAGGAAGCAGAGGTTGCAGTGAGCCGAGATTGCGCCACTGCACTCTGGTTAACAGAGTGAGACTCTGTCTCAAAAAAAAAAATTCTGAGATGCAGTCTCACTCTGTCACCCAGGCTGGAGCACAATGGTATAATCTTGGCTCACTGCAACCTCTGCCTCCTAGGTTCAAGTGATCCTCCTGCCTCAGTTTCCCAAGTAGCTGGGATTACAGGCATATGCTACCACATCCAGCTAATTTTTTTGTATTATTAGTAGAGATGGGGTTTCACCATGTTGGCCAGGCTGGTCTCGAACTCCTGACTTCAAGTGATCCACCTGCCACATCCTCCCAAAGTGCTGGGATTATAGACATGAATTGCTGTGTCCAGCCTGACCCCAATTAATTTAAATTTTTTATCTAGAGAACTTAATCTTTATTCATATTTAAACAAATTAACTGAAATTACCTGCTAAATCCAAGTTTATCATGCTAAAATGTACTCTTTCTGATTTTCACTTCTGGTTTTTTGTTTTTTGGGTTTTTGTTGTTTGTTTGTTTGTTTGTTTTGAGATGGAGTTTTGCTCTTGTTACCCAGGCTGGAGTGCAATGGCGCAATCTTGGCCACCGCAACCGCCACCTCCTGGGTTCAGGCAATTCTCCTGCCTCGGCCTCCTGATTTTCACTTCTGAACAGAGCTCTCTGTTGTACTTTTTTAAAGTAAACATACCACAATGCATAAATACAGAAGCACTTTTAAAAGTTCTACCTATTTCATTCATTTAATGTAAAAGTATATTATGTGCCAGTTCTGCAAGTTAATGGACTAATATTAATTAGAACTGAGAAAACTTACCAGTGCCCCTTCAAGACAAGTAGCATAATGATAGCCTCGTCCCATTATCAGAACTGATTTCTGATGATAAAGTTCTGTTGCTAGTTTCTGAATTTCGTCATCCATGCTCAGTACTTCCTTAATCAAATCTAAGAATATTAGCAAAAAAGGAAAATAAACCAAACAAATAAAATAACAATATGTTGGTAGCAACCAACAAAAAACCAGTGTTTCTATTCTTCTGTGCTATCAGTGTGGGGTTTTTTTTCAATAACTAGAGCAAAAGTAGAAAGATCTTACTGACTAAATAGCTACAAGCCACAGCTTGAGAATTTTACCTATTACCACTCCCTTAGAAAACAAAAGTATAATATGTGAATATCTTTGTACCAGGCAGCCGTTTCAATCCAAGCATGATCTCTTTGCGTCTTTCTTGCATGGAGATCCTATCATCACACATCATAAGGGCGAACATCACAAGGGATACAAACTGGCTAGTATAAGCCTGAAACATCACAAAAAAAAAAGCAGGAGAATTAGTTGCAGTTACATCTTAAGAATTTAGAACGTTTGATTTTAAAAAGCTGAAAATAAAATTCCCATTGGTTTTATAGTATACATTATCCATCTTTTAAAACTACATTAGGGCCGAGCATGGTAGCTCACATATGTAATCTCAGCACTTTGGGAGGCCAGGGTGGGTGTATTGCTTAAGCTTAGGTGTTCAAGACTAGCCTGGGCAACATGATGAAACCCCGTTTCTACAAAAAAAAAAAAAATACAAAAATTATCTGGGTGTGGTGGTTTTGAAACCACATCTGTGGTTTCAGCTACTCAGGAGGATCACTTGAGCCCAGGAGGCAGAGGTTGCAGTGAGCCAGGATCGTATTACTGCACTGCAGCCTGGGACAGAGGGAGACCCTGTCTCCAAAAAACAAAAATAAAACTAAATATAAAATTAAATAAATAAATCTACCTTAGTAACAGTGAATGAACCAGAACTTGGGAAATCTATCGCTATTCTCCTTTTCTGAATCTTGAACAAATGACTTAACCTTTATTTCTTAGATACAAAAGCAAAACACCTTATAATCCATTGAATGCTTATAAAATTCCTAATACCCCTAAGAAAGGAAGGAAAAGATGAGTTGAGCAAATCAGTATGTGTCTAACCAAATTTAGTTTTTGGTTTAAATCAAAAGGCAAGTGCTTGAAAAACTCTCCTTGGGGTACTCACACTGGTATTGTTGGATTTTTTTAATTGCTCTTTGATTTTTACCTTTGCCTATTGCCTGTTCCTCACATCCAGTCTTATTTTTTAAGTTTATCATAAAAAAAAAGAAAGTTCAATTGTAGAGAAGTAGAAATAATAATCTATCTGTTAATAAAAATAATTACGTTAATAATATGCTATTAATAACATTTATGAATACTGCCTTATAGTTTTTACTGTTTTAATTTTCTTTACATAGTTAAGAAAATCAGTTATTAGCAGGTACAATTTTAGAACTTGCTTTCACTCCTAAGTAATAGTACAAGTGTATTCCCAAGACTGAACTCTGTCAAGTTACATCATAAGCTTGAGTAGTTTTCATCTCTTTAGGCCTCAGACACCCCATCTGTTAAATGCACAGGACACACTTATAAGATTAACATGAGAATTAAATGAGACAAACGTAAAACATTCAGTTCTGCATAATGCCTGATATATAGGCTCAAAATGTACTATAAATGTTATGGATGACAGATTGAACTAAAAGACAATTATTTCCTTAGGATGCAAAATTGTACGTATTTTAAAATTCACAGTCCAACTGCCAAGACTGTTTTCATTCTTTGTGAATGTGAGATGTGCCTGTTTCATTGCATACTATAATACTGAGAATTATCTTTTTATCAAACTTACCATTTTGACTGCTGGACAATGAACCTTCACTACTATACCATACATATATTGAATCCTAAAACTAAGCTTTTGTCCCCATGTTTGTTGGCCATTTATATTTTCTCTTTTGACAACTTTGTTGTTCCTCACCTGTTTTTCAACTCGAGTTTGCTTTTTTTAAATTGGTTTTAAGAAGGTAGTTATTGCTATGTTTTTAAAATATTTTTTCGGCATGAACTTACCTTTTATATTGATTTACACTGGTGCTGATTGACATAATTTTTTAGCTTTATGTAATACTTTTAGACTCAGATAATCCTTCCACATCCTAACATAAGCTAAGTATTACTAAATTTTCTTACTTCTGTTGTTTTCGTTATTCCTTTTTTCTTTTATAAACATTTTCCCTTTAGTCTGTTTGAAATTAATTTCAGTGCAAGTTGCAGGAACACTAATTCTGTCCTGAGGTACGTCATTTCTTTACAAAACAATCTTTTCATTTAAAAATATGGTATTTTCATCAATTTGTGCTAGGAATTTAGTGCTATTTACCTCTATTTATCACTTTGACCACACATTCTAAATTTTTATCCCTATTATTTATTGTGTACTTTTTTCTATTAAGTCTTTCTCAATGGTAGTTCTGATATTTTTTTAATCCAATAGTTATTTAGAAAAACATTTTTATGTTTCAGACAGTTGAGGCTTTTATTTATATCTCTTTTATGAAAATAGTAACTTATTGTGCTGTTGTCGGTTATGGCAGATATAATTTTAACTTTAGGAAATTTATTCTGAGGGTGTGTGTGCATGTGCATGGATTATATGCTGAATTTCTATTACTCCTCTCTTGATAAGGGACTACTCCATTAGTGAATATTTTCCTGTCATGATGTGGATGAGACTCCCTCTATAATAAAATCAGTCTGGTAACTGCCTATCATCCCAATCATTAAATGAGACTCCCTATTTCCTCCTGCTGGACTTCCCAGCTTCCAGCTGCTCACATGGTCCTCCACAACAGCCTCCATGTACACTTATTATATTCCACCAGCAGACTGGAATCTTTTCCCATAGCACTAAAGTGAATTTGGAGTCCCCTGCCTCCAAGACTAATGAGCACATCTATATTCTAAATTCCAGTCTCTTCTAGTCTACTTCTTCCTACTGTGGTTTACTTTTCAATAAATCAATTAATCACAAAATATACTACCAGGTCAGAGGTATCTTGGAGCCCTGGGATACTTACACTGTTTCCAATCCAAATTGATCAGATAATGATTATTCCAGTTCCTCTAGCTCATAACTAAAAATGTTATTCTACAAACTAGTATTTATTTGTTTGAACTAAAAACATCTAAACACTAGTTTTTAAGTACAACTATTAAACAGAGCAACTTTAATGCATATGTTTTTCCATTGCATTGCTATTACACTTTAATTTGTAATTTCAATTTTATATTTTTAAATACATACCAGGAAACCAATTATGAGGAAAAATAAGCTATATTCTACATTTAGCATCTACTGAGATTTGAAAAGGTTTACCAGGAAAATGCTGACTCTGAAATTTTAAACTTGGTTTTTCTTTTTGTTCAGCCAAAAACAAAGTTACATTTTAATTTTTTTAATCAACAAAAGTCAGCACTGCGTTGAAATTCTAAACACCTGCAATAACATATAAAAGTTGCTGAACCTAACATTTATACCCATCAATTCCTCCAGAAGTATCGAAATGTCTATGGTCTGACACTATGAGAAACTCAGTAAGATCCTTCTAATCCTGACGGTTTTTCAGGCAAAGTTGAGAATTTATAAGCAAGATCATCGAATTTTTCTGCTAGCTCCATCACTGGGCCCAGGGATTGGGATCAGTAACTGGCTGGGCACAGTGGCTCACGCCTGTAATCCCAGCACTTTGGGTGGCCAAGGCAAGTGGATCATGAGGTCAGGATTTCAAGACCAGCCTGGCCAACATGGTGAAACCCCATCTCTACTGAAAATATAAATGGGCATGGTGGCAGGCACGTGTAATCCCAGCTATTCAGGAGGCTGAGGCAGGAGAAACTGAAACCAGAAGGCAGAGGTTACAGTGAGCTGAGGTCACACCACTACAACAACCCTGGGCACCCAGCCTGGGCAACAAAAGCGAAACTCCACCTCAAAAAAAAAAAAAAAAAAAAAAAAGAGCAAAACTCTGTCTCAAAACAAAAAGTTAATCATAATAATCAACTTCGTTCGATACCCACTAACATAAAAACTTATATTTGCCACCTGGAACTGTCTATGACTAAATAACTCAAAATTTATTAAAAGTAACTAAGCCTAAAATGTCTAAGACAATTAAATAAAATTACTTTAGAATCCAAGAAAAATAAAATAATACTAAATTGCCATATTTATCAAATTTTTCAAGAGTCATTTTCTCAAATCTGTACTAAAAAGATGCTAATTTTTCTTATACAGGTGGTAACCATTGGGGGTAACTGGGTGAAGAATATGTAAGACTTCTCTGTACTATCTTTGCAACTTCCTATATAGGTATTTCAAAATAAAAAGTTGTTTTTTTTTTTTTTAAGAAAACAAAGGACTTGCAGAAAGAAAGAACTACTGATACAAATCTCAAAAACTTCAGGCTGGGCTGGTCCAATAGCAGTGGGTCATCAGAACTCATTAACATTAGCATTACTAAAGTTGGTATACAAAACCCCACTGCTAAATTTAACTGGCTTTATTTAAAAAAAAAAAAAACTTCAGGCTTAATGAAAAAGCTAGAATACAAAATGTGTTATATAAATTACATTTACAAGAATTTTCTGGAAGGTGCCACAATACAGTAGGAGAAAACAGTAGTTCCTGAGTGTGAGGCTGGACGGTAGGAGTGAGGATTGACCGTAAAGAAACACAAAGGAATATTTCAGGATCATCTTCTATAACTGGATTGTGATAACTGTTGCAAAGCCAAATAAATTCACTACAACTGTACACATAAAATTGGTGAATATGCTATGGTAGAAGCTAGATGGTGGGTATACCAATGTTAATGTAAAATTTTTATTTTTTAAGACTGGGTCTCGCTCTATCATCTAGGCTACAGTGTGGTGTGTGATCGTAGCTCACTGCAGCTTCAAACTCCTGAGCCCAAGGGCTCCTCCTGCCTCAGCCTCCTAAGTAGCTAGGCCTACAGGTACACACCACCATGCCCTGCTAATTTTTGCATTTTTTATAGAAATGAGGTCTCACTATGTTGCCCAGGCTAGTCTCGAACTCTTGGCCTCAAGTGATCCTCTCACTTCAGTCTCCCCAAGTGCCAGGATAACAGGTATGGGCCATTGCACCCAGCCTGTATGTAAAAATTTTTAAACTCTGCTATATATTTGAAAATCATCATCATAAAATGTTGAGGCAAATTAAAGTTCTCATAAACAAAGGAATGAGAAATGTAAAATATATATAGTTTCCTTGGCAGCTCACAATTCCAGAAAAATTTTATGAGAAGGTTAAGTCAATGGCATCCATCCAATCAAACAATCGCATATCCCACATACTTGAAGCCCTTGTTTCACAATCTGTTATAAATAAAAAGGCTCTGGGATTCCAGTCTCCCAATCAAAGCCATCTGGACACTGCTTCAAAAAATCTATTAAGTGCTACTAAAGGTGGCTGGTCATTAATTCAGCCACAGGATAGAAACAAGCACAAACATGTAACATGTTTTAATTACTATATGGAGAAAATTCAGGTTTCAGCACTCTATAAATTATAGTGTTAGTAACATCAAAATACCCAAGAAATAAATATCTCACTCAAGAGTTTTTTTATGCTGGACTCATGCCTATAATCCCAGCACTTTGGGAGGCCGAGGCAGGCAGATCGTTTGAGCCCAGGAGTTCCAGACTGGCAGAGGCAACATGGTAAAACTCCGTCTCTATAAAAAATACAAAAATTAGCCAGGCATGGGTGGTAGGCTGCAACTCTAGTCCCAGCTACAGAGGCGGTGGAGGTGGGAGGATCACCTGAACCGAGGAAGGCCCAGGCTGCAGTAAGTCATGATGATTGTACCACCGCACTTCTGCACTTTATCTACCATGGAAGAGAGTGAGAGACCCTGTCTCCAAAAAAAAAAAAGGACCAGGTATAGCAGTGGCTCGTGCCTGTAATCCTAGCACTTTGGGAGGTTGAGGCAGGTAGATCACTTGAAGTCAGGAGTTCAAGACCAGCCTGGCCAACATGGTGAAATCTCATCTCTACTAAAAATACAAAAATTAACCAGGCATGGTGGTAGGTGTCTGTAATCCCAGCTATCTGGGAGGCTGAGGTAGGAGAATCGCTTGAATCCAGGAGGTGTGGGTTGCAGTGAGCTGAAATTATACCAATGCACTCCAGCCTGGGCAGCAGAGTGAGACTTCATCTCCCCCACCCCACAAAAAACAGGAAAAGAAAAGAAGAAGAGTTTTTATGTAAGAATCACAAATTTTCTATAAATATTCTCTATGAGAGAAAATATTCAAATGTGGTTACGTGCACATTAACATTGTCTTCCACAAACCTTTAATTAAACTCAAAAACACTAATACCCCAAAATCATATTAGACAATCAGCAAGAAATATCAGACTTAAGCAGAAAAATACTGAGAAAACAAAAATGTGAAATCATAAAAAGTAATACACAGCCTGGGCAACATAGCAAGACCCTATCTTTAAAAAACAAAACAAAACAAAACAAACAAAAAAACTCGCCAGGCATCGTGGTGCATCTGTAGTCCCAGCTACTCAGGAGGCTGAGGCAGAGAATCACTTGAGCCCATGAGTCTGAGGCTGCAGTGAGCTATGATTTCCGCTACTGCCCTCCAGCCCCTGCCTGGGTGGCAAAACAAGACCCTGTCTCTAAAAAACAAACATAAAACCCCAACACACACTTGTGGAAGGATAACATCTTCTGTATTTGTACAAGTTTCTAAGATTTCCTATTTTTATTACCCGCCTAAATTTATGCATATTCTAACTTCAAAGAGCAAAGTAGTCTTATTAGGCCTTCAAAAAAACAAGACAGTACCTTTAAACCTCCCCAGAACAGAATCTAAAGAGAAATAGATATTGTCATACAATACTCATTAAAAAATTTTTTTTATTTGCCAAATTTTATACCAAAGGTGTACTCCTCCTTAAAAACTTTCAGAGGTAGTATGTACATTGGTACATATTTATCAGAAGCCATAAATAAGTATATCCGAATTCCAAAAATGGTTAAACTGGATGTTTCTAATTTGTTACTTTTCTAATTCCTGACTATATACTTCATAAAAGAAGAAGATGTTATATACTTGTTATGTATCCTACTGTGCCTAGCAGGAGGACAGTAAGTGATAGACAGGGATAGCCAGCAGAGACCTTTTCAAAATGGATTTACATTATATACATATGTCCCTTTTAAACTCTAAGATTAGGAAGAGGGAGAGAATGACAAGTCTTTCATCTATTACTAACCCTTAAGTCCTACGATAATTACAATGATTAATAAAATATATGAGTTCTGTAATTGCTAACAAAAAATAAGATACAGATTTTTCTATAGACTAGTCTGCTTCACTAACACTATGATTAAATAATCACCAGAGAAATGAGGCAAGAATTTACCTTTGTACTGGCCACACCAATCTCAGGACCAGCATTAATGTGAACTCCACAATCTGTCTCCCTTGATATAGAACTGCCAACTGTGTTTGTGATTCCCACAGTTAAAGCTCCTCTCTCCTTACAATACCGAAGACCCATCAAGGTATCTGCTGTCTCACCTGTGTAAAAAGTAGGACAACCATAACATACAGAACAGTTTTAGCATATACTGTTTTAGAAGCAAAACCAAATTGCCTATACTTTTAACAATATTACTTGTTTTAAATAAAACACAAAACATGCACTTAAAAAACTTATAAAACTTTAAGTAACATGGCTTGTCAGATCTCTCTCCTCTTGTTGAAACTCCAGCTCTTTGAACATAAAAGGTGTTCATTTTTACTAACTCATAAAGAATTAGGTAATATTAAAATAAATCTGGGTTTGTCAAGTTATCTGCAATACCAGTTTATCTTTAAATATCAGCTTTTGCCAAGATACGCTGGAATTATTGGAAAGAATCACTTTCCTTCCCTTTAAGTCTTTAAAATTAACACACCTGATTGACTAAGGAAAAAGCAAACATCATCTCGAAAGACTGGTGTGTTTCTGTCCAGGAAGTCACTGGCTAGTTCCACCATCACAGGCAACTCAGTCAGCTCCTCAAGAACTTGACGTGTCTGCAGAGAAAAGATGACTTGGTCACAGAACTCTCTTTCAAATACTCTTTCACTGGACTTCTCTGGATTTCATGTATAGTTTTCGGTTTTACTGATTACAAAAATGACATGTCAGAAAATACAAACAACCCAGATTAAAATATAAAAAATAAAAATCCTACCACTTGAGATAAGCATGGCTAACATTTTACTTCACTCTCTTTAGACAACTATCTATGCATACATACATTTTTTTTTTTTTTTTTTTTTTGAGACAGAGTCTCACACTGTCATCAGGCTGGAGTGCTATGGCACGATCTTGGCTCACTGCAACTGCTGCCTCCTGGGTTCAAGCAATTCTCCTGCCTCAGCCTCCCAAGTAGCTGGGACTATAGGCATGTGCCACCACGCCCAGCTTAGTAGAGATGGGGTTTTACCATGTTGGCCAGGATGGTCTCGATCTCCTGACCTCGTGATCTGCCCACCTCGACCTCCCAAAGTGCTGGGATTACAGGCGTGAGCCACCCACACTGCACCTGGCCACATACATTCTTATAAGGAAACCAACCCACACATATAGAACATTTTCAGAAGTAGAAAGAGCATGATTCTGGGTCAGACTGTGCGTTATCTCTAACTTCCCGATTCCTAATCTTTAAAATGAAAATTCACATAATACTCATGCCAGTGAAGGGTTTCAAATAAGAGATGTACAAATATAAAGAGAAAAATTAAACACTTTAAAAATGCAATGTATTCATAAATAGGACAATTTCGCAAAAGTCATCAATATATTTTAGAAATCTTGTTTAAGAGGTCTCACTATTTTCAAACTTCATGGCATGGGGCAGGGGAAATAAAGAAGGGGGAAATACGTCTCTGTGCAAAAGGTAGCTTAAACTTCATTTCAGTAAATTTCCATTCTAATTAAATTCCTTTTACACTAAACATTGGAAAACTAAAAACAACAGAAAAATTAACTTTTAGGCAGCAAAAACTTTAAGCTCAATCAATGTATATATTTAGGGTTGCTTTAATTCTAACTCTGGAGATCACCTATCCTGACAGCCTTTAACCAGCCTCTTCAGGCAAGTGGCCCTGCCCATCTTTCACCCATCTCAGCATTTTTCCCTCTCAGCAATAAAGAACTTAAAGATGCCCCTATTTCACAGCGCTTTAACTTTTGCTTCCTCACAAATTTGGGCAGAATTGACTTATTTGGTTTCCCAAAATATATTAAATAACTTTGGTTTGGCATTTTTTAACATCACAACATCACATAAAGAAAATCATGGAAGATAAAATGCTCCTATTTTTGATTACTCTTTTCTATTAATATATTTTATTTATAATGTATAATTAAGTTACTGACACTAAAATGCTAAATGTTTTCTCACAAATAAATATAAACCAAAGCTTTTCACCCAGCTTATAATATAAATGTTATATTAGAATAATATTCTTCAAAATAAAAAGATGGGGAAAGAAGAGAGAAAGAAATCTGGAGACTTACCAGATATTTAAAAGTAAGAGATCCCAAAAAGGTAATCTCAAGATTTAGATGTGCTAATTAACAGTTTATTCTTTTAGTTGAGGCAACTTTTTTTTTGTTTTGGTTAAAGATGAGATATTGGTTTGCTGCCCAGGCTGGAGTGCAGTAGCTATTAGGAGGCATGATTATAGTGCACTGTGGCCTCAAATTCCTGGTCTCAAGTGATCCTCCTGCCTCAGCTTCCAAGTAGCTGGAACTACAAGCACACACCACTGCACCCAGCTAGAAACAACTTTATATAAATATACAAAACGACCTATTTCCACCACAATAGAGTAACTTAGTGCATAAATTCCACTGAATGCCACAACAAAATGTAGAGAAAAATTAAAATTTTGAAAAGCCTACTAAGTAGGCTATACTTAAACCATTTATGCCTAGTATTCTGTTATTGGAACACTAAGCTTGTGGGAGTTATTTATATTCTACTGCTTTAGGTCATTGCCAAGGTCTGATTTTTCACACAAAAAATTTGCAACCTCTGGCATAAATGGGTTAAGAATAATTAGAGTGTAGTCAGTTATTATTCAGGATACAGAGAGATACTAAAAAACCATGCAAATGTGTCCTAAAATAACAACAAAGAATGTAAAACAAGGTAAAATAAACAGTACTATTTTGTCTGATAAACCACAAGGATTTCTAATGTTTGTTAACTATAGCAGTCTTGGCATCCACAAAACAACAAAAAATCCTACATTAGAGAATTCTAACAGAGCATATAAATTTCTGCCCCAAAATTTTCTTAGTACTAGATGAAGCATTTAATCAACTTTTTTATTTGTGAATAGAGGGCTCATTCAGTAATAGATCTAAGTCACCACTAATGTGTTTATGTCATTCTTCCCATGTTCAAAAACACTTTTTTTTTTTTGAAGCAGGGTCTGGTTTTGTCACCCAGGTTAGAGTGCAGCCTTGCAATCCAGGATCACTGCAGCCTCAACCTTCTGGACTCAAGTGATCCTCCTGCCTCAGCCTCCCAAGCAGCTAGGACTACAGGGACTTGCCACCACACCCTGTAATTTTTTTTCTTTTTGTAGAGACAGGGTCTCACTATGTTGCCCAGACTCAAACTCCTGGCATCAAGTGATCCTCCCACTTTGCACTCCCAAAGTGCTGGGATTATAGGTGTGAGCCACCACTCCTGGACCAAACAGTCGCTTTTTTAATTAGCAATAATCGCCTAGGATAAGCCTCATTGGCTATGATACTGCCACTGCGCAAAGCTAACAATCACATTTTTAGACCTCTACCCTTCAATATTACATAGACTTTCTGTTTAGGACCGTATAATTTTGGGGGACTCGGGGGAGGTGTACGATATAGTCTTAGAAAAGAGCAAAGCTTGTTGAGATGCAAGGGCTAGTAACCAGATAGTTTCACTCATTGCTTAAATAAATGGCTCCTAATAAATATTTATGCCTCAGCAAATAAAAAAATTACTATGTCATGAATTTTGGAAATCAATCCTCAAAGCAAGGTCTTCTGTTTGTAAGAGTTGACATCAACAGCACATAAACTGTCTCTTTTTAAGGAAACTACATGTGAATCTGACTTATTAGAATAAAAGACCCTCATATACCTATGTTTCTGCACTGACAACAATACAAGTTTTTGATACCAAATTTCAGCTTCTAAAAAAATAATTTAAAGAATAAAATCTGATTTAAAAAAAAAAAAAAAGGAGACTCCCTTTCTTTGCAGTAAAGTGCCCACAAAATAAAACTGCATTGAAGTTCACACATGATACGGGTCATTTGTCTAGAGCAAATGAACAACACTAAGCAAAACCCAATGACTGCTCTTATACACATAGGTAAGCTCCTTATGCTACAAGTCTAGGACAGTACTGAAATTCCCCCCTTCTTGACCTTTCATGAAGTCTGCTGCAGGGGGTCTATCTGTGTATCTATGGACCTTTTCTAAAGATCTTCCATTGATAAATAATTCCGAGCAGCTAGTAAAATTTCTCCCCTACTTTCTTTTTTTCATCACAAAAGTGAAAAGATAACACATTTTAACAAAAGAGAGTTTAACATAGTATGTTATTAGAGGTAGTACTTGTTCTATAGATATCCTCTGTAATTAAAATTTTAAGAGGCACTTACTGCTACACCAGCATGGTAACTTGTTCCACAAGCAATAAGAATCAAACGCCGACATCTCTGGATCTCCTTAATGTGATCCTTCAAACCACCCAAATTCACTGAAATAAAAGTTTGTGTACATAATTATTTAGCAAAGAACCATGTGAATCGCATTTTATGAGTATCCATTTCCAATATGAGAAAGAATAATGCTGTTTTAAAGAATTCATATTCCTCTTAGAAAGCACAGTTCTCTGTAATTTTGAAAAGTAAATTAAGTTAGTCACAACTTAACTGGCCCCTCCAAACTTGTAACTGACCTTACTCAACTCTCTACATGCCCATACAATCACAGTATTTAATATATTCTACCTTAGTTAGTCATTTTTACATTCTTCTCTTTAAAAGTTAACTTAAAAGCAAAAGTAGAGGGACACAGAAAACAGATCAGTAGACGCTGAAGGCTAGAGCTGGAGGAGGGGCTGGCAACAATAGGGTGCAAGGAATTTTTCGGAGTGATGAAACTGTTCTACATATTGACTTTGTAGGAGGTTATGATTATGACTACTTTGTAGACATCTGTCAAACCTAAGAGTTATACACGAGGAATGGGTGAATTTTATTATATCTAATTATGTCACAATAAACCTGTCTGGGAAAAACATCATCTCAGTTATGTTTATTTCCCTTCTGGTTCCCAGAAAAGTGTTCTGTACACAACATAAACCCACTCTCCTCTCAGCCTTTGCCATCCCCATTCCCCTAATACTTCAGTCAAATTGCTTGATTGTTCCTATCCCTCCACATTTATCTTCAAACCCAGCATCTCCCTGGATGACAGCAACATTCTCCAGTTCTCTCTTCTGTCCTCCACCTCCTAGAGTCTGCTCTCCATATGCTGCCAGAAGGATCTCTTAAGAGTGATCCTTTGAAAACATAAAGACCCTCCAATGAAGTCTCTCCTCTTTTTCATTTTCAGTTTCTATAGCTATTTACATGTTGTTCTCCATGTGTCCTGTCCAGAAATCCTTCCACACAGGCTAGTTTTCTACCTCTGAGAAATTCCTATTCAACATTCATTCAGCTAGTCAACTAAAATTCCCTAACCACCCACCAAGTGAATATAGTGGTCAAGACACTGAGAGGCTACCCAAGTTCTAGACTCAAACAGTTCCTCATCTGGCTAAGGAGAAAGACAGGTACCTCCTTGTGGACCTTATCCTGCTTCTCTCTCTGAACCATCCTCAGTCTGTCTAGTCTATCCCTGCTCTCTTCATCTCCCCTCCTTCTTTTTCCTTTTTATTTTTTTTTTTTGAGACGGAGTCTTACTGTGTCAGCCAGGCTGGAGTGCAGTGTGGCACAATCTTGGCTCACTGTAACCTCCGCCTCCCAGGTTCAAACAATTCTCCAGCTTCAGCCTGCTTAGTAGCTGGGATTACAGGCGTGAGCCACCATGCCCAGCTAATTTTTTGAATTTCTGGTAGAGAGAGGGTTTCACCATGTTAGCTAGGCTGGTCTCGAACTCCTGATCTCAAGTGATCCGCCTGCCTCGGCCTCCCAAAGTGCTGGGATTACAGGCATGAGTCACGATGCCCGACCAGGCCACCTTTCTTATCTTAGTTATTTATACTATAAAACCAAGGTACATGTTTTACTTTTCATCTTTTGAATAATTGTATGTTCTCCTTTTTTAATTTCAATAATAAAAGACGGTATGTTTCTCTATTTTAAAAAATTAGCAAGTAGAAAACAAAACCAAACAAAATAAAAAGTGTTACCAACTTCCCAAATAATTTAGAATCAAATCCAATCTCCTTACTTTGGCCTTCAAGTCCCACACGATCTATCTCATGCTTACTGTGACCTAATATCCTAGCACGTCCCCTCTCACTCAGGCCACACCAGCCAGACTGGCCTTCTTGCTGTTCCTGCACTAGACCAAGCCTATTTGCATACCTCTGCCTACAGTGTTTTCCACAGACCTCAGCATTAATTACAAATGTTTGGAAAGAAAGGAAACAACAGTAAAAGGCTGGCTTGGGGTTAACAGTAAAAGGCTGAATCAGGGTCATGCAAAGGCAAAGACTCAATATAAAAGAAAAAAAAAAAAAAAGACCTGTAATGCAATGCAGATGACGACGAAGAATGATATGGATGTGTAAGATGGTGAGATTAGCTGGCCATGGTGTTTCCTTAAAATTAGTCCTAGAAATTTCTGGTGGCTGAGGAGAGTTGGAATAGTTCTGAAGAGTTACCCAAAGCTCTGAATTTGATGCTTTTGAGAAAAGCCTGATCCCTTTTGAGATGAGGTAGGCTATCACTACAGGCAAAACAAGAATGTCTGATGGACAGGGGAGAGGATGGAGAACACTTAGAACAATGAACATACATGGGGACTACTTTGGTTCAACAAATGACTAACAATGTGACCTCTGGCAAACTGGCAGCCTCAATCTCTTCATCTTAATAACAAAAAGATGACAACTATCCTGTTTTATTACAGAATTTTTATGCACATAATACAGATATAAGCACTCCTTTTTTTTTTTTTTTTTTTGAGACAGGTTTTTCAACCAGGCTGCAGTGCAGTGGTAGAGTCAGAGCTCACTGCAGCCTCAGTCTACAGGGCTCAAGCATCCTCCCACTTCAGGTTCCTGAGAAGCCAGCGCTACAGGCACCCACTACCACACCCAGCTCATTTTTTTAAAAATTTTTAGTAAAAACTAAGATCTCCCTAGATTGCCCAGGCTAGTCTAGAACTCCTGAGCTCAAGTGATCCTCCTGCTTTGGAAAGCACTGGGATTAACAGGCATGAGCCGCTGTACCTAGCCAAAAGTACTTTTTAAAAAAAACCATGTTCCCAAAATTTGTATCATTTTCTTCCCTTATAAAACAAATCTTCTTCCTGACCTAATTTCCATAAATACCATTAAAGAATTTACTGCTACTCTCGAAGTTCTTCCAGCTCAACCATCTTCAAAAACCCTCTTCTGTCTACAGAGGCAGACATAATTCCTAGTTTATACTGCTTCTGTTTCTCTCCTGGTCTCTCCTCCCTCCCCTATGGCTGTACCTCAGCCAGGACAACATCCTATCTGACAACCACATCTCAGCCTCTCCTTCTTGTAGTGCACACTGAAGACTGGCAACCGTTTCACCTCAGTAAAAATAGTTAGCATACCCCCTGGCTTCTTAGTCTTCAATAGCTCTGTAATTTCTATAAAAGGAGGTACCTCCCACTCCACTCTCACATTAGAATGCATTCAAAGCCCTCTATAGCAAGCAGTTACTCTCAGCTTCTTTTATAGACATTTCTTTTTACTCCTCTTCAAGCACTAGATCTGGCAGACAATCAAGACTACATTTATTCAATAAGCAACTTTCTAAAGGTCTCACCACCTAGCTAATACTAATTCCACTAGCTAATGCTCTTCTAGCCAACTGAAATGCTCCCATCTGATCTTCATCTATGTAAATCTTCAAAATCCTTCAAAACCCAAACCTGCCTACTTCATTAAGCCTTTTCTGATCCCAAAGCCCCTTCCCACAGATTCACTGTCTACTTGCTCTAAATTCAGCGTTAAAGCATTTCAACATTAAAAGGTGTTTCTAATGTTATTTATCATATTTTCCCTTTCTTTAAATTTTTTTTTTTTTTTTTTTTTTTTTTAGACAGAGTCTTGCTCTTTTGCCCAGGCTAGAGAGTATAGTAGTGCAATCCTGGCTCACTGCAGCCTCAACTTCCTGGGTTCCAGCAATTCTCCTGCCTCAGCCTCCTGAGTAGCTGAGATCACAGGTGGCACCATCACACCCAGCTAATTTTTGGATTTTTTGTTTTGACAAGTGAACGTTTATTTTTGTGCCTTTCTTCCTATGTGTATTTCAAGTCTTTTTCAAAACAAGGCCCCAGGAATCTCCAGATTCAATTATGTCTCTGGGTTTGGTCAACTGCTGCAAGTCTTAGAGAACTTTGTACAAATGCTAGAGTTACTCATTTACCAACATTAAGCCCCAGGATACAAGATGCAACAAAATAGGACTCCTTCCTCCATGGAATGACCCAATTTCAGATGAAGCGGCAGCCAACATAGAAAACGCTGGAATTTTTCCTTGGAACTGGACTGTGATAAGAGGTGCTTTGTTTGCCATAAACATAAGCTATTGCCTTTTCCTTTTCCTTTTTTTTGGCGGGGTGGGGGGAACAGAGTTTTGCTCTTGTGGCCCAGGCTAGAGTGCAATGGCGCTATCTCAGCTTACCACAACCTCCACCTCCCAGGTTCAAGCGATTTTCCTGCCTCAGCCTCCTGAGTAGCTGGAATTACAGGCATGCCCCACCACACCCAGCTAAATTTTTGTATTTTTAGTAGAGATGGGTTTTTGCCATGTTGGTCAGGCTGGTCTCAAAATCCTGGCCTCAAGTGATCAGCCCGTCTTGGCCTTCCACCCACCTTGGCCTCCCAAAGTACTTGGACTACAGGCATGAGACACCGCGCCCGGCCAGCTACTGACTTTACTTTGACCCTTCTTTCCAGTTTTTGAAGATAAAGCAGAAAATAATCTTCTCTGAAGATACTTGATAAAAATTCCCAAAAAAAAAACAAAAACACGTGCTTCTACTTCATTAACAAAAATTTCCTGCAGTTTGGAACCTGGGTCTAGTTCAGCTGGCAGATGAGCTGATTTATGCGTTCACCCCAATAGCCAAGTGTGCCCATCTCCTTGAGGAAGCTCACTCTATTTCTGGTAGCATAACTGGGCCCTGAGAGGTGGACAGCATGCAAGAACCATGAGATCTCCTGGAAATACTTCTTTGGGAAGGCAATTTCATGAATGAGGTCTTCCAAGCAAATAACACCAAACTTCTGCAGGTGCTCCTCATTCGCTGTGTTGTCAGTCAGAGAGATGGTCTTATCCTTGACCTTGGATTGTCCAAATTTCAAAATGAGTTCCCGGACAGACTTCAGATGTGGAAATCCCTAAGTCACATTAGGTTCCACTATATGCAGCATTTTTAGGTTCTGGGGGGTAACTTTTACAAAGGCACCACTAAAAATTTTCTTTAGGCAAAGCCTTGCAATGGTTGTCTGTACCAGTAAATTCATGCCATCAATCCTTTCGATGCATACAACAAAGGCCAAGGAATGTTTATCTGGCAATTCCAAGGCATGAGGTTTGACTTCTAGTAGTCTGAGACGCACCTTATCATGTTTCTGCCACCAGGAATCATGTAGGAATTATTCCAGTTACTTAACGCTGATCTATTTTACTTTGCTCTGCTCCTTCTTTGCCAAAAGTGCCAGGTTTGCCCGGGTGGCTTTGAGGGCTTGATAAGCCTTCCTCTTTTTCATATTTTCTAGAACCAAAGGGATTTTTCTTTGCTCTTGCTCCACCATCTTTCTACTGTTGCCTGTTTTTCTGAGACGGCGTTTCACTCTTGTCACCTAGGCTGGAGTGCAATGACACGATCTCAGCTCACTGAAACCGCCGCCTCCTGAGTTTAAGCGATTCTCCTGTCTCAGCCTCCCAAGTATCTGGGAATACAGGCATGCACCACCACACCTGGCTAATTTTTATACTTTCAGTAGAGATGGGCTTTCGCCATGTTGGTCAGGTTGGTCTCAAACTTCTGACATCAGGTAATCCTCCCACCTCAACCTCCCAAAGGGCTGGGATTACAGGCGTGAGCCACCACACCTGGCCCAAATTTTGTATTTTTAGTAGAGATGGGTTTTGCCATGTTGGTCAGGGTGGTCTCAAACTCCTGGCCTCAAGTGATCTGCCCACCTCAGTCTCCCAAAGTGCTAGAATTACAGGCAAAAGCCACCACACCTGGCCTAAATAGTTAATTATATATTCATCCCCCCTCTCCTAGATCATAAGAGCCTCAAGAACAAGACTTTATTAGAGATAGCTTTCCCATAGTTCCTAACACATCCAGATGGTACACTGCACATAACCGATATCCAATTGATTAATTCAGCCTTCAACAAATCTCTCCTAACACTACTCAGAGAAAAAAAAGATATGAAACAGCATTTATTCCTAAAGATAATTCCCTATCAATTAGCAGGATATGACATGAAGAAGACACTAAATATTGTACATACGACACACAGATTCAGGAACAAAAGATTTTGCACACCACTTATTATTTCTTAAAAACTAATTCCTAACATGGAGACAACTTAGCCCAAAGCTTGTTTGTTAAACTGTTTATTAAACTGGTCATGATGAAAGAGCAGTATTCTGAAAATATGATTTAGCAATAATTTTAGGGACATCTTATGAGCACATAATGTCAATCTCAAACTCATCTTGCAAACAGGAGTGCATAAACACTCCTGTGACACAGTCTAGAGAGAATTTCCAGAAGTAAGACTAGTGTTCTACTCTTACCTCTACCCTAAAAATGCAGGAGGGCACAGGCTATCCAAAAGCCATCAAGCAAATACCTGAAAGACCTCCAGGGAAGTTTACACTTTGAGTCATGCATACACTGAGAAAGGAAACCTAGGCTAGGCAGATACATGTAAGCTGCCCAGCAATGAGGCCAGGTCTCATTCTTTTTAGAATTCACAGTACCTAGGACACTCCTTGGTAAAAAATGGGTGACCAATACATAATATTTACCCTTTTAACTATTTTTAAATGTACAATTCAATGACATTAAGCACATTCACATTATTGTACGACCATCACTACTACCCATCTCTGTAACTTCTTCATCATCCCACAACTGAAACTCTATACCCTTTAAACAATAACTCCCCATTTCCCTTCTCCACAGCCCCTGGTAACCATTAACTACTTTCTGTTTCTGTGAATCTGACTACTCTAGATCTTATATAGGTAGAATCATACACTAAAGACAAGATGGCTGGGCTCTACTGATGGCTGGCAGCTATAGTTGCTCTACAAGTCTATTAAGGGCAATGAACTTTCAGGTTGTTAATGGAACCTCCTATAAGAGACACTGAAATAATTCATATGTAATTACCAGTATAGTCATCAAAGTTGACTCTTCCTCTCATTGTATTCACGACAGACTCTGGCTGCTCAAATATTTCCTTCTGCATAAATGAACTGAAGTTGCCTATAGTAATAGAAATAATAAAATTAAAACAAAAACAAAGAATAAGAACGAATTTGTATACAACTAAAAGTCTCTCTCCTTTAATATAATCTTGGTAAATTAAACATAACAAAAGGCCATGCAACAGAGAAAGTTATTTATATATGACTATATGACTGCCTAAAAGATTGGGTGAATATATTTTACTCTTATGTGGGAAAAAAATAAGAATAGAGTAAAAATCACTTTTAATTAACTTCATACTTGAAATGTGCAGTTAAAACAAAACGAGACAATGAGACAAGCATTTGTTTTGTTGTTCCGTTTTTTTTTTTTTAGACAGAGTTCTACTTTGTCGCCCAGGTCAGAGTGCAGTGATACGATCTTGGCTCACTGCAACCTCCACCTCCTGGGTTCAAGGGATTCCCTGGCCTCAGCCTCCAAGTAGCTGGGACTACAGGCATGTGCCACCATGCCCAGCTAATTTTTTGTATTTTTAGTAGAGACAGGGTTTCACCATATTGGTCAGGGTGGTCTCGAACTCCTGACCTTGTTATCCACCTGCCTCAGCCTCCCAAAGGGCTGGGATTTACAGGTGTGACCCAACACCCCCAGCCAAATGAAACAAGCTTTAAGTTCTAGAGCGTAACTTACAGTCAAATTGTAGTTCTATCCTTTACTACCTAATCTATAAAATAAGAGATCAGTTACTTCATAGTGTGGATTGTAGTGTGGATTAATAAAGCAAAGAATTTGACATATAGTTGAGTTAGGCAATAAATGTTATTTCTTTTTTTTTTTTGAGACAGGGTCTCACTCTGTCACTGAGGCTGAAGTACAGTGGCACAATCACTGCTCACTGCAGCCTTATCTCCTGTGCTCAAGCAATCCTCACACCTCAGCCTCCTGAGTAGCTGGGACTACAGGCGAACACTACCACGCCCGGCTTTTTGTGTGTGTGTGTGTGTGTGTGTGTGAGACAGAGTCTTGCACTGTCATGCAAGCTGGAGTGCAATGGCACGATTTCACCTCACTCAACCTCTGCCCCTTGGGTTCAAGCAACTCTTCCACCTCAGCCTCCCCATTAGCTGGGACTATAGGCACATGCCACCACGCCCATAATTATTTTTTTGTATTTGCAGTAGAAACAGGATTTTGCTATGTTGCCCAGGCTGGTTTCAAACTCCTGAGTTCAAGTGATCCTCTCACATTGGTATCCCTAATTGCTGGGATAACAGGTATGAGCCACCATGCCTGGCCAATGTTAGTTTTTATTCCTATCACAATCCTATCAGAAAGGAAGAAAATAAAAATCCAAATCGTAACAACAATAATGTTAACAGAAGCAAATATCACATAGGACTAAGTGTGTCAGGCACTGTTTTAAGGGCTTGATATACAATTTTTTTTTTTTTTTTTGAGATGGAGTTTCGCTCTTGTTGCCCAGGCTGGAGTGCAATGGCACAATCTTGGCTCACCACAATCTCCACCTCCCAGGTTCAAGTGATTCTCCTGCCTCAGCCTCCCAAGTAGCTGGGATTACAGGCATGCACCACCACGCCCGGCTAATTTTTGTATTTTTAGTACAGACGGAGTTTCTCCATGTTGTTTAGGCTGGTCTGGAACTCCCCACCTCAGGTGATCTGCCTGCCTCAGTCTCCCAAAGTGCTGGGATTACAGGCGTGAGTCACTGTGCCTGGCCAAATAATAGCTTCTTAATCCTCAAAACAACCTTAATGAGGTAGGCTCTATTATCCCCATGTTATATGTAAGAAAACTAAAGCACAAAGAGAATAAAAAGGAACAGAATATGAACTATATTTATGTTTATAAAGTATCTTTAAAGTATCAAGTGTTGGCCGGGCACAGTGGCTCACATCTGTAATACCAGCACTTTGGGAGCCCAAGGCAGGTGGATCACCCAAGGTCAGGAGTCCAGACTAGCATGGCCAACATGGTGAAACCCATCTCTAAAAAAAAACAAAAATAAAAATAAAGTATCAAATGCTAATAATCTCTTTTTTATGTTAGAAATAATAAATCTTTAGTTTGATGACAATTGTAAAACCAGCAGATAATTTCTCTAAAGAATCATCCCTTTTCCTAGAGTTGTCCCTTCACTATTCACTAATCATGTGAAAGATTCCACTCATCATTCATTATTAGATTCAATATGCTAGGAAAAGAAGTAGAATATATTCTTTCCATTAAGGACACCAAGCTATAACATGACAAAAACTTTTACCCTTCATGATCTGCTGCAGTTCCATCTGGAGTGTTTGCACAGCTCGTCCAGGGTGATCTCCTGCAGTTCGTTTAATTCGATGTATAGAAAGACGTCCATCCACCACTGCTGCAACATCATCATCTTCTAGAAAGATGACACGATTGGTGTGTTCTATGACAGCACTATAAAATTTTCAAGGAGATATTACAATCAATAACCAAAGATCATTATTACATATGAAACTATCATTTGGATACAAGAACCAAATTTCAATATAAACTCTATTACTCTGTAGTGTATCGGGGAACTTTCTGGGTACTAATGCCATCCCTTATAGGAAAGTATGGGGAAGGCAGTCACAGTGAAAAAAAAATAAAAGGATCTCTGCACAGCAACCTAAACCAAATAGATTGGATCAGAAAGCACAGTTATTTCCTCCTCGTTCTATCCATCACCAAATCCTGAAATTTTAACTTCCAAATACTCTCAAAGCTTCTATGTCCACCAGACAAATACAAACTCCCATCGGCTCCCTGGCTGGACTACTGCAGCAACCTCCCAATTTGTCTACCCACTTTCTCTCTTAATTTCTCTCCATCCATTCTCCATTTCTGCCAAAATTGATATTAAAAGGCAACAGCTCTAATAAAGATTTCTCCTTCACTCAACAAATCATCTGACAGATTCCCTCTGGCTCTTAGAGAGACAACAAAGTGCCTTACCGTAATCCCTATGCCTCCTTCTCCAGCTTCATCTCCCACCAAGCTTCCTCTCTCTCTCTATTCCAGCCACACTCATAGCCATTCTGAACTCTCACAGGCTTAGCCATTCACAAAGAATGAATGTTCCTCCCTCTACCTCTTCACCTAATTAATTCCTGATCTCTCCTTAACTCTCAAACATCGTTCCCTTAAAGAAATTTACCCACCAGAGGGTAAATCTCTCTGTTACTCGCATTCTGCAGCTCTTCTCAGTTGGAATTCTACACTTGTATGATTATTGTTTAAAATTTGCCTCCTTACTAAGGAAGAGTTCCTTAGGGACAATAATATTTTTATTTTTTACTCACCATTATCTCCCGAGGCTACCATATGGCTTTACTAAGAGTGTTCAATATGAATGTATAAATGAATGAGAAAAGGCTGATAGGTTTCTGTAATTCCAATGTATTTAAGTCGTAACTGTCAACTGTGTAATCTTACACATCTTAGCCCTGACTACACACCTGTAAAAATATTCAAGAGTGAAGCTTGTTTTCCCACTAAGATAATACATTCCCTTAAGTCCTAAATGGCAGTATTTTCTCATTTTTATTATTTTTTCTTATTTTCAGGCACAGGGAATTACTCAAATACTTGTTTGCAATTTGGGTGATTTTATTTTATCCTCATTACTATTTCATTTATAAATGCATTTAAACATCCCCCTGCATTTTCTCTCAATATGTCTTAGTCTACTACTATCCCTTTATAAAAGTTATTATGCTGCAATTAATTCTAAATGTAAAAAATAGGTATCTACATTACAATAAAACTACAATAGTTTACTAACTTAGCCATTTTACTCTCTAATCTACAATCTCCTCCCTACAAACCCTGGATAAGGCTCCTGAAATAAGGAAAAAATGTAAGACCTCTAAAATACACTGCAATAAGTTTCAAGGAGTATATGTGTTCTTGACCTACATGCTTTGAAATAAGAGAAAAAGTGTCCTTGTAGCCCCATCTCCAAAATGGTCAACTATATTTCTTTAATTAAAAAAGTTCTCTCACAGAGCACAACTAGACTAATACACAATGACTTCTTGGTTTCCTGTAGCATGACAAGTTTTACTAAAAATCTCTTTCAATCAACCAAAGAAGCTCACCTTGCATCAGAAGCAAAGTAATACTCCACTGCTTTTTCTTCCACCGGGAAAAGGCAAGTTGTGCTGTCCACGCGAGAGAGATTGCAGCTTCCCTTCTTGTCTTTGCCTAAAGCATATAGTTAACATGAATTGGCAAATATGTAGAAAATCATGTCCAATGTAGATATACGCATAATCTTTTAAAAAACCATAGCAACACAAAACAATTTTAGCAAATTTAAAAAGCCAGGTAGATCACCTTATTTCCATGCAATAAGCCAATAAAAACAGAAAAAAAGTGTACAGTGAAGTAGCAACTATCAAAGAGTTTGTGGCAGGTAAAAGTGCTAAATTATATCTTTTTTTAATATAATATTTCTTTTCCAGGTAAAAGACAAGTAATTCCTTAATATTAATTTTTTTAATCAAAAGTATAAATTAATTTTAACTTTATACAAAACTTGATAATCTTACCAGATAAAAGCAGTGGACCTATAATTATCACAAAAATTGCATTTAAAATATCAAAATTGTGCAATGAAAATAAAATGAACACAGCGGCTCATGCCTGTAGTCCTAGCACTTTGAGAGGCCAAGGCAGATGGAACACTTGAGGTCAGGAGTTCAAGACCAGCCTGGCCAACGTGGTGAAACCCCATCTCTACTAAAAATACCAAAATTAGCTGGGCATGGTGGCAGGCGCCTGTAATCTCAGATACTTGGGAGGCTGAGACAGGAGGATCACTTGAACCCAGGAGGTGGAGGCTGTAGTGAGCCGAGATTGTGCCATTGCACTCCAGCCTAGGCAACAGAGCAAAAACTCTGTCTCCAAAATAAAAAAGAAAAAGAAAATGAAGGCTAGTAGCAAATTAATTTTTATTATATCATAACAAAACCTCACTAGATTTTAGCAGCAAGTCAGCATAACAAATCAAGTTTTAGTCTCCACTAATTCTGATTTTAAAACAAAACAAAGATGCATATCACTCTCTAATCATGGTATATCTGTTAGAGATAAAATTTATAAAACAAGAAACTCTCCTTTCTTTAACTTGGGTTTTCTTACACTTCCTTTAAGTCAGGAGAAAGTAGGGTCATTTTGCAAAGCTAATATCCTTTTAATTCTTGTATTTCAGAATTATGACATCTCAATTTGTCAAGACATTGGTAACTTTTTTCATCAAGACTTGGATACTAAAGCTTTATAAATCAGCCTAATATAGGAAAAAATCTATTAGTTGAAGACTATATAAAGGTCCTAGAGACAAAAATGCACTTTTCTCCAAGGCCAAGACATTACAGAACTTAGAACTATGGAAACAATAGCCAGAGAACATCACAAGTATACTTATAAAAACTGGTATTGTATCTATCCTTTTAAAATGCACATATAAAGACAGACTTGATAATAATTATTAGAAAAGTATATTCAAATGTGCTGATTATCCTGAGTTGATTATTATACATTTTATACATGTACAGAAATATACTACATCACCAGGATAGGCACAGTGGCGCACGCCTGTAATTCCAACATTTTGGGAGGCTGAGGTGGTCAGACCACCTGAGGTCAGGAGTTCTATACCAGCCTGACCAACACGGAGAAACCCCGTCTCTACTAAAAATACAAAGTTAGCTGGACGTGGTGGCGCATGCCTGTAATCCCAGCTACTTGGGAGGCTGAGGCTGGAGAATTGCTTGAACCCAGGAGGCGGAGGTTGTGGTGAGCCGAAATCATGCCACTGCACTCCGGCTTGGGCAACAAGAGTCAAATTCCATCTCAAAAAAAAAAAAAAAAAAGAATTAAATACTACACCACATAAATATATTAAAAATAATAAAAGCCAAAAAAAGTATATTCAAAGTTTTCCACCATCTGTGACTACTTGATGATTTAGTCATGAAAACAAAGTAACTTTTCCCATTCATATTTAACAGCAAAGATGCCAAACTTTGAAAAAGTTTAAGATGATGTCCAAGACCAGGTAACACTATAGAAAAATAACATATTAGTGTTTGCCAAGGGCTGGGAATGGGACAAGGGTTGATGACAGAGGACAGCTTGAGGGAACTTTTTAGGTGATGAAATTGTTCTGTATCTTGATTGTGGTGGTAGTTATACAACTTCACATCTGACAAAACTCATGAAACTACATGAAAAGGAGTAAATATTGTATGTTTAAAAAACTGAGGCCAGGCGCAGTGGCTCATACCTGTAATCCCAGCACTTTGGGAGGCTGAGGCGAGTGGATTACTTGAGGTCAGGAGTTCAAGACCAGCCTGGCCAACATGGTGAAACCCCCTCTCCACTAAAAATACAAAAAATTAGCTGAGTGTGGTGGAACACACCTGTAGTCCCAGCTATTCTGGAGGCTGAGGTGGGAGAATTGCTTGAACCCAGGAGGCAGAGGTTGCAGTTAGCTGAGATCATGTCACTGCACTCCAGCCTGGGTGACAGAGCAAGACTTCATCTCAAAAACAAAAACAAAAAAGTGAATTAAAAAACATGTAAAAAGAGAGCTCAACATTTTTTAAAAATAAATGCAACTACATCTGCTTATAAAATGTCCTAACAGGCTTGAGTTTCAGTGTTTTTTCTCCAAATATTGATAATTTCATTCTTCAAATAACAAAGTATATTTAATTAAAATATGTAAAAGAATTTGAGGCCAGGCACCGTGGCTCACACCTATAATCCCAGCACTTTGGGAGGCTGAGACGGGCAAATCACCTGGGGTCAGGAGTTCAAGACTAGCCTGGCCAGAATGGCAAAACCCCATCTCTACCAAAAATACAAAAATTAGCCGGGCATGGTGGTGTGCACTGGTGGTCCCAGCTACTCAGGAGGCTGAGGCATGAGAATCGCTTGAACCCAGGCGGTATAGGTTGCAGTGAGCCAAGATCATGCCACAGAGTGAGACTGTTTCAATCAATCAATCAATCAATAAAGTAAAAAAAAAAAAAAACCTTGAGGTATCAATGTCTGTTTAAATGAAAAGAACACTTCCGGGCTGGGCACAGTGGCTCACACCTGTGATACGAACACTTTGGGAGGCTGAGCTGGGTAGAGTCCAGGAGTTCAAGAGCAGCCTGGGCAACAAATCAAGACTCCATTTCTACAAAAAATTTACAGTTAGCTAGGAGCCAGGCACAATGGCCCATTCCTATAATCTCTGTAATTTGGAAGGTTGAGGTGGGAGGATCCCTTGAGGCCAAGAGTTTGAGAATAGCCCGGCCAACATAGCGAGACTTCCTCTCTACAAATAAAAAATTAGGTGGGGCTGGTGGCACACACCTGTGGTCCCAGAAGGAGGCTGAGGTGGGAGAATCACTTGAGCCCAGGCAGTCGAGACTGCAGTGAGCCATTACTGAGCCACTGCACTCCAGCCTGGCTGAGACAGCAAAACCCTGTCTAAGAATTAGCTGGGCATGATGGCACACACCTGTATTCCTAGCTATTTGAGAGGCTGAGGCAGGAGGATCGCCTGAGCCCAAGAGTTTAAAATTGCAGTGAAGTATGACCTCACCACTGCACTGCACTCCAGCCTGGGCAACGGAACAAGACCCTGTCTCCCCCAGCCTCTCTGTAAAAAAAGCAATATGGAAAGTTACATCCAAGTAAATAAATAAGAAAAACAAAACATAAACTTTACACATAAACAATATAAAAGAACAATCACTACAAATTCAAATAAAGTCAATTCAAATGTAAATCTAACAGTAACATGTCATGCATAAAATAAAGACCATTTAAACATATTTCAGTTAAAAGTTAGGCTAAATGAGTCAAATAACTACCACTTAGTCAATCTAAAATAACCTAGCACACAATGCTCTTTTCCTAATCTAAGCATATATCCTATATGATTTTAAAACAAAGGAAAAAATAATTTAGAATTTCAAGTATTTTCTCAAATTTCAGAAATTTTAATGAAATTATCAAAAGCACTTTTCTAAATGCCAAAAGCAGACACACAAAATATACTCTGCAAATTAGAAAAATGTCAAAATACACTTCCCAATAAAATAAGCACATTTTTAGAGGCCCAGCACATTCATTCACTCCAAGAACAAAAGAATTAGTAAAGAAAAAAACAAAAGAGGATAAGATCTTCCCCATCCATGCAGAGTGCATTTCCCACCTCTTTCTCCCTGTGATCCCCACCGTGTGAATTTTGATCCAATCTGAGTCCTAGCTAAGGATACACAACAGAAAAAAATTCTAATCATCAGAGTACTCACAAAAACAAATCTTTTTCATGTCTGGACAGAACTATATTTACATGTCCATCTGACCAAAAGGGCATTTATTCCAACTTAAGGAAAATAATTCTTCATAACTACTGCACTCCATTTGTAGAGGAAATTTTACCTGTTCTGTAGAGTATAGGAATGTGATCAGTAGAAAGTTTATGTTCACTCCGTACACCAATCAACAGAGGACTGCCTCGCCTGTAATTGGAAGAGCAGTCAGAATTAAACCATTTTTATAAATAATGGACTAATGATATAAAATTTAATGAGCCAATACTCTTCAAACGTTTAAATTCTCCCCCCAAGCGCAAGTTCAGATATAAAAACGAACTAGATAAATAGAATTTTTTAAAAAAACATATTCTGTACTGGGCCGGTATAGTGGCTCACACCTGTAATCCCAGAACTTCACAAGGCCAAGGCAGGCAAATCACTTAAACCCAGGAGTTCAAGACCTGTCTGAGCAACATGGCAAAACCCCATCTCCAAATCAGCCAGCTGTGATGGCACATGCCCACAGTCTCAGCTACTCAGGAGACTGAGGTAGGAGAACTGCTTGAGCCTGGAAGGTGGAGGCTGCAGTGAGCAAGATCGCACCACTGCTCTCTGGCCTGGGTGACGGAGCAAGACCCTATATCCAAAAAAAAAAAAATTCTGTATCAGAGTCAGCAAACTGACCTGAAGCCCAGGGTTATTTTTATAAATAAAGGGTTTTTGTTTGGTTGGTTTTTGAGAATGCCCTTGCTCTGTCTCCCAGGCTGAAGTGCAGTGGCGCAATCACAGCTCGCTGCAGCCTTGACCTCCTGGCCTCAAGTGATCCCCTTGCCTCAGCCTCCTGATTAGCTGGGTCTACAAGTACGCACCACCACACCCAGCTAAATTTTTTATTTTTGGTAGAGACGGGGTTTTGCCATGTTGCCCAGGCTGGTCTAGAACTCCTTGGATATAGCAATCTACCCATTTCAGCCTCCCAAAATGCTGGAATTATAGGTATGAGCCACCAAGCCAAGCCTAATACAGGTTTTTTAACTTTTATAATTGACAAATAAAAACTGTATTAAATACAGTTATTTTGGAACATAGCCATGCCCACTCTTTTACTTATTTTCTGCAGCTGCTTTCACAATACAACCAGCAATTAAGTAGTTACTACACAGGCTACATGGCCCAGAAAGCCTAAAATAGTTACTATCTGGCCCACTCCAAAAAAGTTTGCCAACCCCTGCTAGTAACAGTGTATTTTAATTGTTTTTCTTTGTAATGTGAAATGGAACCTTCCTTTCAATTGTGCACAGAAGGCCAATATAGGAAGGTGTAGCACGTTCTCCTTAGTCACCACGTCTTCAGATTAAAAATATCTCTCTCTTACCGTATCTTAGGGCACCTCACTTAGGATTTCACGATCAGGCCTAAATATCCTAACAAGAAGCAGTGATGGCATAATTATCTAGGAATTTGTCTAGAACATGTTTCAAAAAATACAGAGAAGGCTAATATTTTAACTTTATTAGGTAATATTCAATATCCAAATTCACAAAGTAACTCTGCTAATTCTGCCTCAGCAATTCTGCCTCAGCATCCCGAGTAGCTGGGATTACAGGCTTGTGCCACCAAGCCCGAATAATTTTTATATTCTTAGTAGATACGGGGTTTTGCCATGTTGGCCAGGCTGGTCTCAAACTCCTGATCTCAGGTCATCCACCTGCCTCAGCCTCCCAAAGTGCTAGGATTACAGGCGTGAGCCACCGTCCCCAGCCTGTACTTGCTTTCTTAAGGGATTCTGTTAAATGGAAGAGTGGTAAAACAACAGACAAGAAGGAGCATGTGAAAATATGCTCACATGAATATATCTAAAAGAGGGCAGAACCTTTGTAACAAAGGGTCATTTATAATCTATGAAGAATAAACATGTAACTCAAATATACTGAAATACATTAGTCATTGTTAGAGTTATATGTACCTTGTGCCAACTGCTTGCCCGGGAAAATGGACACTTTTAAATACGAGTGCAAAAGCACCTTCCTATGGAGGGAAAAAAATGTATTAGCAATATTTACTGTAATCAAATAAATGTCAGAAATGCCTAGAACATACTGACTTCAGCAAAGAAATTTTTGGTTCACACAAATGCTCTTTTGTGCCAGTTTATAAACAAGTCTATAATTTAAGTAAACACTTACTCCTAAGCTTTAGTGTATCCAAGATCCACTTTTTTAACCAAGCCTACGATCGAAATATGATCAATAGATAATAACTCCAAAATAAGATCATTTAAAAAGTCACCCATTGTACATGCTATGAACACTTCTCAACTGATAGATCCTATTTCCATCATCTACCTATCTATATTATCATGAAACTATGAATTATCAGAGGAAAGACAGAATTAGAAAAGATCCCAAGATCAAAATCTAAAACCTATTCTCTGCCCTAGTTAATTGTACACCACTGTTAACTTTCACTCTTTCTCAATATTAAGAGATACAAATATATAGAATTAGAATTATTAACATGCATACCATATAACTCCATCAACCTGGATCCTCAGAGACAGGGCTTACAGGAATCAAGAACAGATAAAAGAGGAACACAAAATAGTAGAGGGAAGAACCACCATGGAACACAAACTGGATTATACAATGAATAAAAGGCAAAGTCTATTAGAAAGGAGAAAAGGCTGAAATTCCACGCTGCCTTGGGTAAAAGGGAAGGAATAGGGCTTTACATTCTCCATCTTCCTGTTTCTTCTTTTTGCTAGATGTAAGATTTGCATGCAGGTGGGAGCGGGGTGAGGGTTGGACCTTAGTTGGGCATTAAAATGGGAAAACTAGAGTTATGAGAAGGGAAGAGGGATGTAGGTATCACTATGAATTTAGACTTTTGTAGATCTTTGATATCTTTAATCTTTAATTAGGAATGTTGGATGGAATCAAAAAGAATACTGCTTTTCTCTTGGGCTGGGAAATGCTTTTTAATAGAGGTTCAGGGCCAAGGAAAAGTCCCCAAAAGGAAAAATAAGTAGCTGACTTCACGCAGGCATCATCCCTGAAGGTACCATTGTGCTAAGTTACTGGTTGAGAAGAACACTCGGATGAACAGGAAGCAAGGGAGTAACTAATCCTCCATTGTGTATACTGTGTACATATCCATGCGTGGCGTGTATGGATGTGTGTATATACGCATAGTTTTTAGACACATTTTGATTTTGGATTATTTTTCATTCTCATGACATTAAATCAGAATGAAGTAAGTAGAATTTTAAGTGGAGAGTAGGGGGAATCAATAAACCAAACGGTGTCTTAAAATTATTCAAGTTGAACAGTTATATGAGAAATAAAAGCCAAAAATACTCAAAAAGAATAGCACAGTTCCTGCTTATCAAACTTAGTTTTCAGAAAGTTTCTCATAATTATTGCTGGCATAATTATCTTTAAAAGTGTGGCTTAATACCAGTTGTTGGATAACTCTCTCCACCAAGGTAGTAAAGCTGATATCTTGACTTTCCCGATTGTCATACATATACTTAACAAGCTTGGCAATTGTCTCTGTGTCTGTTTCAGATTCAAAGTCATAGCCTTTGCTTTCCTGTAAGTAGAAAGACAAAAAAAAGATATAATTAAGAAAATATTCATGACATACAAATCTTTTCTACAAAATTGTTCCCTCAGAAATGTCACTAATTTCTGCTATTTTTTGAGCACCATATCCCATTATTCAAAATTAAAGTCACCATCTGACTAGAGTGAATCCAAAACAATGTGGTACTCTGTGTAACTGAACATACATTTAACTTACTGTCCAATAAATAGCCATTAGCTGTATGTGGCTATTTAAATTTAACCAAAATTAAATAAAATTTAAAATTCAGTTCCTCAGTCATACTAGCTCAATAGCCACATATGGACAGTAGCTACTATACTGAATAGCCCAGATACACTATGTCTTCCATCACTGCAGAAAGTTCAATTGAACAACCCTAACAAAGCACTCATGCAGGTCACCATTATGACCATTACTATACAGTATCTATTTAAAACATAGAACTTTGATTTAGTTTGTCCTGATTCTTCTTATATTAATATATTCTAAGAACTTTAAAACACGAGAGTCTCTCACAATGCAAAAAATGTCTCCACAAAATTCCAATTTTATTTGAGCCTTTTGTCATGTATATTACAGTCAAATACTAATCATTTCCTTTTCATATTAAAAGACAAAATTGTTCTACTGCTAGCAAAAAAAAGTCCAATAAACCATCATGCCCTTGAAATTATCTAAGGAATTACTTGATGACACCTATATGGTGTTGTACATCCTAATAACCAACCTCGCTGCTCTTGTTAGAAGTATTATCAAAGACTGGTGTCTTTTGAGATGACCTTACTTACCAAAAACTTTTTCAAGTCTTTGTAGTTGGTGATGATTCCATTGTGAATAACAATAAATTCTAAAAGAGGTAAAAGTATTGATGACAAAAAAGTTAGAAGTCTGATAAACCTAAAATAGCTATAACTAGATTTTTCTCAAGTCAAAAAAATCTAAAATATGCTATACTATTTGTTATTTATAACATGATAATTACATCTACTTCTTGTTACCAGATTATCATCAGGTAGATCAGCAGCATTGTTTACTTGGCATAGCCAAAGCACACAGTGCAGGGGAGGTGGGTAGAGTGGGGAAATAAACAGGAAGTCTAGAGATAACAATTGCAGTTGTGGCTAAACTACTAATCAATGTTACCATGTGAAAGGAGCAAGTTTATTGGGTTTGTTGACTCATTTGCAAAATGAGAAAGCTGAACTAAGTATTATTCTTGTTCATTCATAGTAATTCATTCTTGAGCATAAGTTTAAAAAGAAGACCCTTCAAACTGAGTATAAGTTTAAAGTGAAGGCCCTTCAAACTAAAACAATAATCTGATTTATACTAAATCAGTTTAATAACTAAAACTAAGGAACTTGCTAAGAAAAGCCAGACAATCAGTTCTATAAATTTACTTGTTTGAGATCCAGGTAAGTCATAGAATGTCAGAAAAATAATGTTAAAATATCATTCCAAGAGATAAATATGATTATGAGATAATTTTTATCTTTTTTAAGTTAACTAACTTTCAAAACTGTAAGAATAAATAATCAAGAGTTGACAATATTATTATTTGTAGCCACTGATGGTACATAAAAACTACCAATCCGGCTGGGCATGGTGGCTCACACCTGTAATCCCAGCACTTTAGGAGGCTGAGGCAGGCAGATAACCTGAGTTCAGGAGTTCAAGATCATCCTGGCCAATAAGGCAAAACCCCATCTCTACTAAAAATACAAAAAATTAGCCAAGCATGGCGGCACAAGCCTGTAATCCCAGCTACTCGGGAGGCTGAGGCAGGAGGATCACTTGAATCTGGGAAGCAGAGGTTGCAGTGAGCTGAGATTGTGCCACTGCACTCCAGCCTGGGCAATAAAAACAAAAAACAAAAAAACTACCAATCCTCTGTTTATTATTTAAAGTTCATTTCAGTTAGGAGGAAAATTACTGCTAAATTAAATTTTATTTTAATTATCAAAATATTCTTTTTTTTTTTTTTTTGAGACAGGCTGATGCTCTGTCACCAAGCTGGATTACAGTAGCTCGATCATGACTCACTGCAGCCTTGAACTTCTGGGCTCAGGTGATTCTCCCACATCAGCCTTCTGAGAAGCTGGAATTACAGGCATGCACTATCACACTCAACTAATTTTTTTATTTTTCTGTAGAGACAGAGTCTCACTATGTTGCCCAGGCTAGTCTCCTGAGCTGAAGCAATCCTCCCACTTCAACCTTCCAGTGTCTTGGGATTACAGGTATGAGCTACTATGCAAGGCCAAAATGTTTTTCCTTTTTTTTTTTTTTTGAGGGAAAAAGAGAAAAAGAAGGGGAAAAAAAGAAAAAGAGGGAAAAAGGAATATTACTTCATTCCTAAAATGGGATTCAATATGGGTTTCAATAATGGCCGATCAGTATTTTGAGTGTTTAAAGTGGTTAATGCATATTTTATGTGTTTAAAATAGAGATCTCTATTGTGTTTATTTGTTCTGGCTCTGAGTTCAAGTCCCGGATATCGTTATCAATTTGTTGTCTCGTTGAATCTAAATCTCATTATGTGTCTTATGTATCTGGGTGTTAAGATCTCTTATTATTACATTAATCCTTTTACCCTTGCATCCTTGTAGCTTTGAAATCTATTTTATTAAGTGTGAGAATTGCAACTCCTGCTTTTTATTTATTTATTTTTGCTCTCCATTTGGTTGGTGAGTTTTTTTCCATCCCCTTGTTTTGAGTCTTTGTATATCTTTAGATATATTGTTAGATTTTGTGGATAATGTATATTTTGTGTGTTTAAAATGGAGAGCTCTATTGAATTTATTTGTTCTGGATCTTAGTTCCAGTCCCGGATATCGTTATCAATTTTCTGTCTCGTTGAATCTAAATCTCATTATGGGTCTTATGTATCTGGGTGTTAAGATCTCTTATTATTACATTAATCCTTTTACCCTTGTATCCTTGTAGCTTTGAAATCTATTTTGTCAAATGTGAAAATTGCAACTCCTGCTTTTTATTTATTTATTTTTGCTCTCCATTTGGTTGGTACGTTTTTTTTTCCAACCCTTTATTTTGAGTCTATGTATATCTTTGGATATACCGTTAGATTTTGTCTGTATCTTTTGATTGGGAGATTTGGTCGATTTAAATTTAGGGTTGCTGCCATTTGATATTAACTGGCTATTTTGTCCTTTCGTTGATAAAAATTCTTCTTTATGTTAATGCTCTTTACTTTTTGGTGTATTTTTAGAAAGCGTCATACTGGTTGTTCCTTTCTGTGTATAATGCTTCTTTCAGAAGTTCTTGTAAAGCAGGCCTGGTGGTAATAAAATCTCTGAGTACTTGCTTGTTCCTAAAAGATTTTATTTTTCCTTCAAATGTAAAGATTAAATTGGCAGGATATGAAATTCTGGGCTGAAAGTTCTGTTGATTAAGTATATTGAATATTGGTCCCCACTCTCTTCTAGCTTGTAGGGTTTCCATTGAGAGATCTGCTGTAAGCCTAATAGGCTTACCTTTATGGGTAACTTGATCTTTTTCTCTGGCTGCCCTTAATATTTTCTCCTTCGTTTCGATCTTGGTGAATCTAACGATTATGTGCCTTGGGGTTGGTCTTCTTGAGGAATATCTTTGTGGTGTTCTCTTTATTGCCTGGGGTTGAATAGTGTCCTGCTTTGCTAAATTAGGAAAATTTTCTTGGATAATGTCCTGGAGAGTATTTTCCAGCTTGAATTCATTCTCTCCGTCACATTCAGGTACACCAATCAAGCGTATATTAGGTCTTTTCACATAGTCCCATATTGCTTGGAGACTTTGCTCATTCCTTTTCATCCTTTTTTCTCTATTCTTGTCTTGTCGTTTTGTTTCATTAAGTTGGTCTTCGACCTCTGATACCCTTTCTTCTGCTTGATCCATTCGGCTGTTTAAGCTTGTACATATTTCACTAAGTTCTCGTGTTGTGTTTTTCAACTCCATAAGTTCATTTGTATTCCTCTCTATATTGTCTATTCTTTTCAACATTTCATCTAACCTTTTTTCCAAGTTCTTAGTTTCTTTACATTGGGTTAGAACAAGTTCCTTTAACTCCCAGAAGTTTCTTATCATCCACCTTTTAAAGCCTACTTCAGATAATGGAACACAGTCCTTTTCCATCAGGGCTTGTTCCGTTACTGATGAGTCCTTTTCCATCAGGGCTTGTTCGGTTGCTGATGAGTCCTTTTCCAACAGGGCTTGTTCCGTTGCTGATGGGTTCTGATTTTGAGTATACTCGGCCTTCTTAGGCTGTTTTTTTCCCTTCATTGTAGATGAACCACCTTTCTAATTAGTTTTCTGAGTCGATGTCCGACTTATTGATTCCCAGTGCTGGGATCCGAGCAACCCACTGTGGCAGCCTAAATAGCAGTGGTGAGACTGATGGTGCTCTTCTGCCCGGGAATCTCTGGTCTGGCTTCCCTCTTGAGTCCGCAACAAGTGGCTCTGACTTCCGGGAGCTCCAAACTCCGGTCAGTAGGGGAAGCAGTCCCGTTGGCTCTGCATGAAGAGCTGCTGCACCGAGACACCGGCAAAACCGCTGCGGCGGCCACAAGAGTCGCGCTGGCGACCCGTGGGGCTCCTCCACTGGGAATCGGCTAATCGGTGAGTGACAAAAATTCGTCTAATGTGGCGTCGTCTCGTTCTCTGAGCTTTCAGTGGGAGCTACGATCCTGAGCTGTTAGTGGTCGGCCATCTTGGATTGATCATGTTTTTCCTTTTTTGAGACAAAGTCCTGCTCTGTCACCCAGACTGAAGTGAAGTGGCACAATCCGGGCTCACTGCAACCTCCGCCTCCCAAGTTCAAGCGATTCTCCTGGCTCAGCCTCTCAAGTAGCTGGGATTGTAGGTGCATGCTACCACACCCTGCTGATTTTCGTATTTTTAACAGAGATGGGGTTTTGCCATGTTGGCCAAGCTGGTCTCGAACTCCTAACTTCAGGTGATCCACATGCCTCAGCCTCCCAAAGTGCTGGGATTACAGGCATGAGCCACCACACACAGCGGCCACGATGTTCTTAATACACATAAAGATCTGACATTTTGGCTGACAGTAATTAGAAACCAAATAATAAACATTTTCATGAGATTTTTGAGAAGATGATAGCAACTAAAACATAAATTTATAAAAAATTTGCCATGTGTGGTGGCTCATGCCTGTAATCCCAGCACTTTGGGAGGCTGAGACGAGCGGATCACCTGAGGTCAGGAGTTCAAGACCAGCCTGGCCAACATGGTAAAACCTCATCCCTACTAAAAATTTAAAAATTAGCTAGGCGTGGTGGTGTGAGCCTATAATCCCAGCTACTTGGGAAGCTTGAGGCAGAGGAATCACTTGAATCCGGGAGGCAGAGGTTGCAGTGAGCCCAAATCATGCCACTGCACTCTAGCCTGGGAAACAGAGCAAGACTCCATCTCCAAAAAAAAAAAAAAAAATATATATATATATATATATATATATAAATCCTAGAACAAAGAGATTCATAAATAACTAATTAAAAGGCTTTAACTTAAAGCCAAATTCTCAAAACATAATCTAGATGTAAGTTTTCGGGAATCTTTTATAAAGGCCTTATGTCAAAAGTCTAAATGATTGCTAGCATTATAATCAAATTCAATAGTAATTACTGAAGCACAAGAAACCTAAATAGGCACCTTCTGAATTAAATTAAAAACCAAAAAGGGCTGGGTGCAATGGCTCATGTCTGTAATCTCAGCACTTTGGGAGGCTGAGGTGGAAAGACAAGTAGTCCAGGAGTTTGTAACCAGCCTTGGCAACAAAGCAAGACCCCTATCTCTACAAAAATAAATTAAATTAGCTGGGTGTGGTGGTGCAAGCCTGTGATCCTAGCTACTCAGGAGACTGAGGCAAGAAGATCACTTGTGCCCAAGAATTTGAGGTTACAGGGAGCTATGATCCCACCACTATACCCTGCCTGCGTGGAGGAGTGAGACCAGGTCACTAAAATAAAAGGGAAAAAAATGGGGAGGGATAAATACACATATACACACTTTTGCATGTATTTTTTTTTTTTAATGAAAGAACAGACTCAAAAAATTGATTAATGTTATCTACAGGGAGAATAAAAGGAAACAGAAGAGTCTAGACTTGTTTTGTTGTTGAGACAGGGTCTTACTCTGTCACCCATGCTGCAGTACAGTGGCACAATCATGGCTCACTGCAGCCTCAACCCCCAGGCTCAGGTGATCCTCCTGCCTCAGCCTCCCAAGTAGCTGGGACTATAGGTGAATGCCACCGTCCAGCTAATTTTTGTATTTTCTGTAGGGATGGGGTTTTACCATGTTGCTCGTGCTGGTCTCAAACTACTGGGCTCAAGCAATCCATCCATCTCAGCCTCTCAAAGTGCTGGGTAGACTTCTTTTAATATGTCTTGTTTTAAAGATATAACTTCAGAATTATGTAAATATTTTAAATAATTGTAAATAACATTTATTTTTCAAAGAATATCAATCCTTAAAACTAAAAAATGAAAATATTAAAGTAACAAATATCCAGCCCAGTAGCACAAGTGCATGGAGAAAGACTATCCCAAGTAACTCTAAAACACAGTCTTTTGATTATACATTCCTACAGAGATATGCCCTAAGGACAAAAACAGTAAAAAAAATTTTCAGCCAGGCACAGTGTCTCATGCCTGTAATCCCAGCACTTTGGGAGGCCAAGGCAGGAGTATCACCTGAGGTCTGAAGTTCAAGACCAGCCTGGCCAACACAGTAAAACCCCAACTCTACTAAAAACACAAAAATTAGCTGGGCATGGTGGACAGATATGGTCTCATTCTGTTGCCCCAGGTTGGAGGGCAATGGCATGAGACCTGACCATGGCTCACTGCAGCCTCAACCTCCTGGGCTTAAATTATCTTCCCACCTCAGATTCCCAAGTAGCTGGGATTACAGGCACGAGCCACCATGCCTAACTAATTTTATTTTTTGTAGACATGGGATCTCACTATGTTGCCAGGGCTGATCATGAACACCTGGACTCAAGCAATCCTCCCACCTCAGCCTCCAAAAGTGCTAGGATCACAGGCGTGAGCCAGCACTCTCAGCTCTATATACTCTCTACTACTTCTGAACGTTTGAAATTTTCCAGATTAAAAAAAATTAAAATAATGAAAATCTAACAGCCTTCATTCTGCCCCCATTATTAGGCTTCCACGATCATTCCAAAGCACGAAAAATCTTTCCATACCATTATTTTTATCAGAGCGCTGGGGGTGGCTATTGACAGGACTGGGTTCTCCATGTGTTGCCCAACGGGTATGAGCTATTCCAAGGTGTACATCAAATTCTATATCCAAATCCATATCCTGTTGCTCTGAAGAAGAGGAAATGAAAAATTTCAGTATTAAATCATGCTGCAGAGATAATGCTATAAGCTATATTTAAATAAAATTATTACAATGCTGCTCACTTGGAATACACAATCATTGAAACTGAAGATCAGGCATATTCAAAATAGTGATTCAAAGACTTAGGAGGCCAGGAACGGTGGCTCACGCCTGTAATCCCAGCACTATGGAAGGCTGAGGCAAGCAGATAACCAGAGGAAGGAGTTCAAGACCAGCCTGGCCAACATGGGGAAACCCCATCTCTACTACCACTGCAAAAATTCGCCAGGTATGGTGATGCATGCCTGTAGCCCCGGCTACTCCGGAGGCTAAGGCAGGAAAATTGCTTGAACTCAGGAGGCAGAGGTTACAGCGAGCTAAGATCACGCCACTGAACTCCAGTCTGGGCAACTTAGGAATGCATCATATGCATGTATCAAAACATCTCATTCATCCAGTAAATATATACATCTACTATCTACCCACAAAACTTAAAGATAAAGACTTAAGAGTTTATGCAACTCAAATATTGAGGGCAAATGGTTTCAATAACAAAAAAACTAACATAAAGTTAAAGCAAACATGACAAAATGTTAATAACTGATAAAGTCAGGTAAAGTATATATAGGTAATAATGTACTATTCTTTCAAGTTTCCTACAGATATGAAAACTCAAGAGTTAAGGACATAAACAATTATTGTAATTTTTTAAATCTGTATTTAATTATTGTCTTAAAAAAAACCTTATCAATTTAATTAAACATGTAAAAATAAATTCATTTTCCCAATGACACACAACCTTATGACTGCAATTTCTTTGGTCTCTAGTGAATGTACACATGTCTCACAATATAAACTGCAATTATGGAGTGCCTCTAAATCAAACAGTTATTTGAGAACAGAGCAATGCTATGAAAGTATGGAGCTACTGGGAAATCGGCATAGACCGATGTTTGTTTATTGTGAAAAGTAACTTATTTTTCACATAAGCTATCTTTTCTTGCTGCATCTTAAAAAAAATGGACAGCTCAAGTTATTAACTAGTAATGTCCTTCTTTTAATTTCCTAAATACAAAATTCATTTGGCTAAGAATGCAGATAACAAAGTTTATCAGAATTAGGTCTAAATTAAGAGCAAACTGGCTGGGTATCATGGCTCATGCCTGTAATCCTAGCACTTTGGGAGGCCAAGGCAGGTAGATCACTTGAGGTTGGGAGTTCAAGACCAGCCTGGCCAACATGGTGAAACCCTGTCTCTACTAAAAATACAAAAATTAGCCGACCATGGTGGCACATGCCTGTAATCCCAGCTACTCAGGAGGCTGAGGTAGGAGAATCACTTGAACCTGAGAAGGGAAGGTTGTACTGAGCCAAGATCATGCCACTGCCCTCCAGCCTGGGTGAAAGAGCAGACTCCATCTCAAAAGTAAGTAAGTAAATAAATAAATAAATACATACATACATACATAAAATAGTATATTCTGTTGTACTATTACATTTATGACATGTTGTCAACCTAGCTTCCACTAGAATTTGGATTCTACAAAAACAGCAGCCTACCTTATTATTTTTTAACCCTAAGCACTAAAAGGTATATATTACAGATAAATTTTTGTTGGATAGCTCAATCTATCACTGAATAAAATCATGCATGTATTCTTTCCTTGCTTAACTGTGTTCTGAATAATTAAGGCGACCTGATAAATGACCTCAAGAAAAGGATTACTGTTCTTTTTTTTCTTTTTATAAGATGGAGTTTCACTCTTTATGCCCAGGCTGGAGTGCAATAGCACAGTCTTGGCACACTGCAAACTCCAACTCCTGTGTTCAAGCAATTCTCCTGCCTCAGCCTCCCAAGTAGCTGGGATTATAGGCACCCACTAAAGGATTACTGTTTACCATTATTCAACAGGATAATGCAAGAAATGAAAACATTTCTTTGACTACTTTTTTAAGCTAACTATAATTAAAGCAGTATCTCCCTGCACATACTGTCAAGCAGTATTGGAGAAAGTCACAAGATTCTGTATATTGAATCCATTTCAAATTCATGGTAATTACCATACCTTTATTTCACTGTTGCCATAGGAACACTACCTAATATCTAGTAAGAAAAAAAATGACCTAATTATTACCTAATAGTAAGAAAAACAATAATTAAACTGATAGTTCAATACAGTTCCCTGATAGCTCATTACTTTACTATTCTAAGGCTCAATACCTGTAGTCTCTCAATTCCACTTTACTCAGCTTTTATCCTTTTACTTGGTAATTGTCTGCTTTCTTTAGTTTGTATTTTACCTTTGATTCCTACAGTACAATCTTTCCTTTAAAGGCTAACTCTTTGCCTGTGCCTTAGTCTTCCTGAACTGCAGTGCTTCAATAATTCCCTCATTTGCATCTTCTATCTTACCCTACCTCTACTCCATGGCTCCTTGCCCTCTGCCTGCCTTTTCTCAGATGTCATCTTTCCCTTTTTAAAAAAATACTTCAAACATATTTAAATTTGCTGGGAATAATAAACATCCAAATGCCCACACCCACGAGGTAACAAAACATCTAGTCATTTGTGCTTCACATATTTTTTTAAGATCTAAAATGTAAAAAAATCAATGCTGTATAGGGAAACTTGAAATAAAAGTAAAAAATGCAGTTGACACCTTCTTTATATCCCCATCCCATTCACTTCCTCCCCAGAGGATTCTCAAGTTGACACAATCTTACTACTCACGCATTTTTTTTTTTGCCAATCAGTTTGAGCTTATGAGGTTGCTCAGGTTAGCCTTGAACTGATGACCTCACCTTCGCAAGCGCCATGACCTCTGGCGGGAGCCACTTTGGACCCCACTCGTGCCTTTTAAACTATGATTACGTTAACATGAGACCATAAATGATAGTATTGTTTTGTGTTTTTAAATGTCCTATACTTTACCTGCCAGGAATTATCCATGTTCCTATATGCAGAACCAGATTCAGTGCACTCCTTTCGAAGGCTACATATGGTCATTCACTATCATATATAACTTTTTTTTTTTCCTAGTAGTTTGGACTACAGGCACACACCACCATGCCTGGCTAACTTTTTGTATTTTGGTGAGGATGGGTTTCACCATGTTGCCCAGGCTGGTCTCAAACTCATGATCTCAGGCAATCCACCTGCCTCGGCCTCCCAAAGTGCTAGGATTACAGGCGTGAGCCACCATGCCCAGCATATACAACTTATTATATCATCCCATTCCCTTATTTATAGACATTTAGGCTATTTCTAAATTTTGCAACAATGAATCTTGTTGTCATGACACCTTGTTCATTGTGTTTCCTTCAAGTATATATGCAAGAGTGAAAGTGCTTGGTCTCAGGGTACAGGCATTTCCCATGTAGATATTGCCAGACTGCTCCTTAAAATGATTTACCAGTTACCAATTACCAGCAGTATCTGCAAGTTTCCATCTATAGACAGTAAATTCAGTCAATACTTACTTTGATGTTATTGTAGGGTAAGATTAGCGAAGGGTTGGCCAGTCGCAGTGGCTCAGGCCTAAAATCTTAGCACTTTGAGAGGCTGAGGAAGGTGGATTACCTAAGGTCAGGAGTTCAAGACCAACCTGGCCAATATAGTGAAACCCCATCTCTACCAAAAATACAGAAATTCACCAAGCATGGTGGCATGCACCTGTAATTCCAGCTACTTGGGAGGCTGAGATAGAAGAGTCACTTGAACCCAGGAGGCAGAGGTTGCAGTGAGCCAAGACTGCGCCATTGCCCTCCAGCCTGGGCACTGCAGCAAGACTCCATCTCAAAGGAAAAAAACAAAAACAAAAAGAGTTTACTGCTGAAGAGGCATGTTTCAATATACTGACATTCAAAAATGGTGATTCTGGTCACATCTGCCTTTCCAGTCTCCCATATTTGTCCATCAATAATGGAAATCAAAAGGACTACTACCATTTCACCAACAAACCTGCCATCCCTATTCTTATCTTATCAGAAGGTCCTCCCTTCACATATTCACGGATCAAATATAATCAGCAGTCATTCTCTATGTATTCCCAGTCTCATCAACTCGTGGGAACTCTCCCCAGAATCTCATAGCAATGTCTGTTCTCTCCTACAGAACCCACTGTAATCAGCCTGGTATACAGGATGCAGAACACACAGTAGATATTTATACTATTGTTTTTGCAGGGTAGTTATTTGAGCGTCTGCTTTACCCCAGCTAATCTTACACTACCATACAGGCAAAATAAGTATTGATTTAATTTGTTAAACAAGTACTACAAAGCTAAATGTATGGCTTATGTGGAAAAAAAAAAACAAAATCCATCATTTTCCTCTACCTGTACTCTTTCACAATGATTATGATGGCATTCATTTGAGTAGGTACATAAAATACTTGCTGTTCCCTGGGTTTTGTGGAGAATTTTAAAAATATTTTTTTAATCAGTTTACTTCAAAGTTTGCTTTGCTTTCAAGTTTCTTGTGCAGAAATAAAATGTGCAAGCATAATGTTATGATCTAAATACTGAGAAGTAAACCCTCTTTGATGGGACATACATCTCTAACAACTCCTTATGCCAGAGAAAAAAACTGTAAGGGAAAACATCATACTTAACAGATTTTATCAGACCTACTAAAAGGTGCAATGTCCAAATTGACTACATCCAAGTTAGGCATTTAATCCAAAGAGAAGACAATTAGTAATTGAAGACATATGTATAAGGGCACCACTAAAAATACCTTTTGTCCTATGAAAGGCTCTTCCTCAGGAATGGTGGCTCTGAAGCTACTTGATTTAATATTCGAAGCTTGTGCTAAAGGTAATATGCCTAACTAATTTCCTTCCCTAGTTGCAACGATTATTTTTCAGGTTCAGGCACATTTTAAAACTAGTCTAGATGGTAACAAAACTACTTTTCTTGCCCTCTCTTTAATGTCACAGACCATTATCATTAAAATGGGTCCCAAAATATGAGGGGAGAGGATAACTTGGTGGGGAATGGGGAGGGGAAAAGGAAGAGAAGGGAAGGTGGGACAAAAATCAAACTAAGTACATTACTGTGAACTTCTTCATCCAGTGCCTTAACTTTTCCTTTCTTCTTAATAAGCTGGATTTTGCAGGCATTGGCTTCCCAATCTTTGTCATTGCCTCCATCAACTCCCACACCTAAACCATCATAAGTAAAAGAACAAGATTTAGAAACTGGCTACTGATAAAATTATTAATGTGAGGCAAAATTTTTAATTAAAAAAAAATCTAAATAATTCACTTATTTATCAATTCAACATCTACTGAAAACCTACTGTGTGTCAAAAACCAGGATAACTGCTAGAGACAAAAATAAAAAGAACTCAATTCCTGTCCTCAAATTTCTAAGTCTATCAAGAAGACAGACAAGGAAAAAATAATTCAGCATGATTATGAATTATAATAAAAATACTACAGGGTACAATTGGAGTCCAATGGAGAAATACAAAAGATAGGCACCCACCTGAGAAGGTGGCTAAGGAGGGGAAGGTCAGGGAACACATCTCTTAAAAGACTCCTTAAGTTGCTAAGGAATTTGAAAAAGCTACCCTGAAGATACTGGGAAAACACTTTGTCCTATAAGCAGAGAAGTGATTCAGCAAAAATGTTTAGCAAAGTCCTTCTAGAAACAGTGTAGAGAAAGAATTAGAGGGAGAGAAACAGAAGGAAGAAACGAGCTGTCAAAAGTTATAGTTACAGCAAAGCAAAAATGAAGAGCACCTGAACTAAACAGCAGTAATGCAGAAAGAGATAAGTGAAATTGAGAAGTGGAATTGAGAATATAAGTGAGAAGGCAGAAGAAGTCTGGAATACCTCAAAGGACTTGTAAAATGGCTCAAAGGACTTGTTGAATGATTCTTAATAAAAAGGACATAAAAAAATGGACTGGGCATGCCTTTAATCCCAGCTAATCGGAGGCTGAGGCAGACGAATGGCTTGAACCCAGGAGGTAGAGGTTGTAGTGAGCTGAGATCACACCATTGCACTCCAGCCTGAGCGAAAGAGCAAGACTGCATCTCAAAAACAAACAAAAAACAGAGTGGGGAGTGGGGTAAGGACTGCAGTGTATCAGTTTGTTTGTTTTTTCTGAGACAGAGTCTCGATCTGTCACCCAGGCTGGAGGGCAGTGGCATGATCTCAGCTCACTGCAACCTCTGCCTCCCAGGTTCAAGCAATTCTCCTGCCTCAGCCTCGTGAGTAACTGGGATTACAGGCGCACGCCACAATGCATGGCTAATTTTTTTTTTTTTTTTTTTTTTTTTTAAGTAGAAACAGGATTTCACCATGTTGGTCAGGCTGGTCTCAAACTCCTTACCTCAAGTGATCCACCCACCTTGGCCTCCCAAAGGGCTGGGATTACAGGCGTGAGCCACCGCACCCGGCCTCAGTTCAATTTTTGAACATGCAAAGTTTAAAATATCATGGTCTATCTAGGAAGAAACTTCTAGGAGGCCTGGAATACAGCTTGGGAGATACATCTGGATCAGGTAAATACACCTTGATTAGAAGTCACCAATATGGCCGGGCACAGTGGCTCATGCCTGTAATTCCAACACTTCGGAAGGCCAAGGCAGGCGGATCACCTGAGGTCGAGAGTTCAAGACCAGCCTGACCAACATAAAGAAACCTCATCTCTACTAAAAATACAAAATTAGCTGAGCATGGTGGCACATGCCAGTAATCCCAGCTACTCGGAAGGCTGAGGTAGGAGACTCGCTTGAACCCAGGAGGCAGAGGATTGCGGTGAGCAAAGATTGCACCATTGCACTCCAGCCTGGGCAACAAAAGTGAAAATCCATCTCAAAAAAAAAAAAAAAAGAAGAAGAAGTCACCAACATACTCACACACAAAAAAATTAAAATTAAAATAAAAGAAAACAAAGAAACAAAAAAAAGAAGTTACCAACATAATTAGAAGGCTGATGAAGTCAGAGCTCACACAAGAAGACACAAAATAAGAAAAGTGGACCTAGGAAAGAATCTTGGTTGGGTGTGGTGGCTCACACCTGTAATCCCAGCACTTTGGGAAGCCGAGGCAGATGGATCACCTGAGGTCAGGAGTTCAAAACAAGCCTGGGCAAAATAGTAAAATCTCATCTCTACTAAAAGTACAAAAATTAGCCAGGCATGGTGGCGCATGCCTGTAATCCCAGCTACTGGAGAGGCTGAGGCAGGAGAATCACTTGAACCCAGGAGGCAGAGGTGCAGCGGTGAGCCAAGATTGTGCCAATGCCCTCCAGCCTAGGTGACAGAGCAGGACTCATCTCAAAAAAAAAAAAGAAACTTGAAGAACATTAACATTTGAGCAGAAGAAAACACTGAGTAGAAGAAAGGAGCCTCCAAAGCAAACAGAAAAGTAATCAGCATCTTAGGAAGAGAATGAGAAGATGTGTATCAAAGAAGCTAAAGAAGGAAAGAATTTTAAAAACAAAGGAGTTGAGGAGCTGACTTTCCATTACTAAGCAAAGTCAAGGAAGATAAATGCCCTTTCCATGTGGCAATGTTAAGTGTACAAAAAAAGAGTAACACAGAAGGTGTGAAACTGCTATCCTTAGAAAGGCTTGTTTTCAAGGTTGGCCTTTCATTCGTGTCTAGAAACTTGGTTTTTGGAAGGATTTCTACCACCCTAACTAAGAGGGGCTCAGTATGTAAACTGTGCAAACAATGTGGTTTATGCTGAACATCTGCTTTTCTTCTGAGAGTCTAGAATTTTGGTATACGCTAGGCAGAGGGTGTCTATGTGACCGGCCCCCAAGGAAAACCCTGGGCACTAATTCACTAGCAAGCAGCTTGTGCCTAGCTTTCTCAAGACTTCACACAAAGCACCTTCATTGTGCTTTGTATTCTTTTGCTCTAATGAAACATAGCCATGAGTATGACAAAATGCTGGGCGGGTGCGGCAGCTCACACCTGTAATCCCAGCACTTTCGGAGGCCGAGGGGGGGGATCATGAGGTCAAAAGATCGAGACCATTCTGGGCAACATGGTAAAACCTTGTCTCTACTAAAAAATAAAAAAAAAATTAGCTGGGTGTGGTGGCGTGAGCCTGTAGTCCCAGCTACTCAGGAGGCTGAGGCAGGAGAATTGCTTGAACCCAGGAGGTGGAGACTGCAGTGAACCGAGATTGTGCCACTGCACTCCAGCCTGGTGCCTGGCGACAGAGCACGAGTCTGTTTCCAAAAAATAATAAAATAAAAACAAAATGCTGAGCCCTAAGAGTCCTCCTGCGGAATCAACAAATCTAAGGATGGTCTTAGGAATCTCTGACACAGTTGAGGAAGGAGCTAGTGTAGAATATAAAGTTGCCAGAAAGTTTTATTTATTTAAAATAAAAGAGGCTGGAATCAGTGGCTTTCCTGTAATCCCAGCACTTTGAGAGGCCAAGACAGGAGGATTACTTGAGGCCAGGAGTTTGAGACCAGCCTGGGCAACATAGTGAGACTCTGGTCTCTACAAAAACTTTTTAAATATTGGCTGGGCATGGTGGTGCACAGCTATGGTCCTAGCTACTCAGGACTGGGGAGAGAGGACTGTTTGAGCTCAGAAGTCTGAGACTGAAGTGAGCTATGACTGCACCACTATACTCCACCTTGGGTGACATAGTGAGACCCTGTCTCAAAAATAAATAAGAAAAATAAGAAAATGAATCTGAGGCAAGTTTATATGTCAAAGCATGAAACCAGTGAAGAAAAATTAAAGTTATAGGAAATAAAAAAGAATTTAGAGAGTAGGGCCTTCATGAATTTTATTTTATCATAATGCCCCATATGATGTTTTTATAGTAGTATTCTTAATAGAAGGTCACTGTAAGAAGCAATACTCCACATAAATGGTAACACTGTTGAGGTTACATGAATAAATCCTTTAAACATGATAAAAGACAAAAATTCTTCAGATTTATGCTTATTCAAAACAAGAGACTTTTTATAAGAGTCTAGTCTCCCAATAATAAAAATAATCTCTGCTTAAAGAATCATGCAAAATCCACAGTAATTTTTTAAAAGGAAGTACCAGCAGAATCATATCCTCTGTATTCCAGTCTCTGAAGGCCTTTGATTAGGGTCTCCAAGATTTCTCGTCTTGTTCGAGGAACATGGTAGTTTAAGTAAGCAAATATACCTGCAAGTAAACAAATATTTAATGAAAATTTCTGATTTAAAAATCAAAATTAGCATAATTACGTCAAGTATGTGAAAAAATGTAAAGTTAGATTCCATCTTTCAAACACTTCAAACCATTTAAAGGCAATGGAACTTTTTCAAGGAGGAATTTCTCATAAGTATAAAAAACTAAACATGTTAAAATACATGTTTATAATTTTTTCAAAGAAGCTTATAAAGCTGGCTACTTATTTTCCATGACTGACATTTTGTCAAGTGAAATTTAATGTTTTTAAAAACCCAATTTGCAAATTCGTGGTTTATGTCCTATATATGAAGCATTTGGTTTCAAGAAAAAAAATTCTGAAGTATTTTAAGCAACATATAGGCCCTAAAATCTATACCAATGAGATTAATTTTGCTTACTTCCAATAATAGATGTGAGTAATACAACTTAAATAATTTTATAAAATAACAAAAACTGACCAAATTTTTAACTATCTTAAAAGATAACTGTTTGAATCACTTGTTCATCAAATATTACCAAAAGACAACCACATGTTAATAACTCTTGAAAATTCATAGAAAAAGAACAATCATTTGGAAAAACAAAACTAGAAATAAAAGGATTAATACAATGTGAACTGAACTAGAAAAGCAAAGAAATAACAAAACACAGGTAAGGGAAATCCACACTTTTAGCAATTGCAGCATGGACAGTATCTGAGGTTTTCCATGGCTGAGCTTTCGCCAGAGGAGCTACAATGTATCAAAACTGAAGACTAAAATATATAAAAATACAGGTTCAAGCTGCTTATTTTAAAACTTCCCTTTTTCTTAACTTTCCTTCACTGTAATTCTACTGATTCATAAGAAGTTTAAATTAATTCTGTGAGATAGAACTCCCAAATGACTAGTCTGCATTTCCATCTAAGTCTCTACTTCTAATAAAGTGTGAATGTTTCCTAGTGAAACATTTCAGCATACAAAAATGCTGCATTGTTGATACCCAACACAAAAGCCATCATAACATATATGCCGATCACAATGATCAACACATTGCAATTTTCTCAAATACATTATCACGCCCTAAAAAAGAGAAATCCACACATTAAAAGCCAAAACAATCTGAAACAACGGTTTCAACACTCCACAAAGAAGTAGTTCCAGGCCAAAGACTTATAGAAATCCTGTATTTCATTCAGATTTTTTTTAAAAGCCATAGCCAGGAACAGTGGCTCACACCTGTAACCCCAGCACTTCGGGAGGCCAAGGCAGGTGGATCACAAGGTCAGGATTTAGAGACCAACCTGACCAACATGGTAAAACCCCATCACTACTAAAAATACAAAAAGATTAGCCGGGTGTGGTGGCACGCATCTGTAATCACAGCTACTCTGGAGGCTGAGGCAGGAGAATCGCTTGAACCAAGGAGACAGAGATTGCAATGAGCCAAGATTGTGCCACTACACTCCAGCCTGCATGACAGAGTGAGATTCCATCTCACACACTCACACACACACACACACCCCTTAAATTTATATTTTTTAAGCTTTCCTGTAATGGACAGTCATCTTACTTTCACAGTACCAACACCCCATAAGGGAGGGTGGAACATCTATCTTACGTAATTCAAAAACAGAAATTGAGTTAACTAATATCCCAGAGATACCCACAAATACCATTCCTAACCTCAAAGCACATCAATTAAGATAAGGATAAACAACATGCTGCTTAAGGATATTTCTAAGGTAAGAGTGGTAGCAGCACAGCAAAGTGCAGTTTCAAACTTTCAATGGCTACTCATGATATAAACACTAGAGGGCGGTAGAAGAGTCCCAAGACCAATGTCCACCCGTTAAATTCAGAAGAATGAGTCTGGGGTTTTTGTTGTTACTGCTGTTCCTTCACAAAGTTATCTATAATATGAATAAAACAATAACCCAATTGTAAATCAAACTTGTATGTGTTCTGCACTCCCCACCCATGGGTCACTGATCTTTGAGAAAGATTACCAACAGATAACTATCAGTTCAGTATTTTAACCAGGTCATTAAAAGAAGATACATAGAACACAAATCTTTTCTAAAACAATGCTTTAATACAAATGTGGGCCAGTGCAGTGGTTCACGCCTGCAATCCCAACCTTGGGAAGCTGAGGAAGGCAGACCATCTGAGGTCAGGAGATTAAGAACAGCCTAGTCAACATGGTGAAACCCCGTCACTACTACTAAAAATACAAAAATTGGCCAGGCGTGGTAGTGCACGCCTCTAATCCCAGCTCAGGAGGCTGAGGCAGGGAGAATCACTTGAACCTGGGAAGCAAAGGTTGCAGTTAGCCAAAATCACACCGATGTACACCAGCCTGGGGGACAGAGAGAGACTATGTCTCAAAAAATAAAAATAAAAATTTAAAAAGTGTGGAAAAAAACTGATACTCTACTAGTTCCCACCACTGTGACTGGCATCGGCTAGAATCCACTAAAGGATACAATCTAGCTTACTTGAAAACACAAGGCTGTCAATGTTTGCAGTCTGACCAGAGCTGCCAAATTCTAATAATGCAGCACATCCAGAAAAACTCACTCCTAAACTCTCTCTTTTAAGAAATCTAAATCTGATAGTAAAAGTAAAAATGTAAACTGGATGGTAAAAATGTAACTGTGATGGTAAAAGAAATAAATATTAAATATGTATACCAATTTGTTAAAACCATTTCAATGCTAATGATATAAAACTGTTTTTAAGACAATTTATAGACTCTACTTTTTTTAAAGATTAAGTAATGCAGCTAGCCTGGGTGGCTCACACCTGTAATCCCAGCAACTTGGGAGGCCAAGGCAGGTGAATCACATGAGGTGAGGCTGGTTCAAAACCAGCCTAGTCAACATAGTGAAATCTCACCTCTACAAAAAAAAAAAAAAAAAAAAAAAATTAGCCAGGCATGATGGAAGGTGCCTATAATCCCAGCTACTCCAGAGGCTGAGGCAGGAGAATTGCTTGAACCTGGGAGGCAGAGGTTGCAGTGAGCCATTGCACTCTAGCCTGGGTGACAGCAAGACTCCGTCTGGGAAAAAAAAAAAAAAAGTAATGCAATATAAAATTCACTATTTTTAATAATGTAACTCAACAACGGCATTCAACTTTGATAATACTTCTAACTTCAATCTCCGTAGTTTATACTGGCTCACTGTATGAATCTTGAGAGCTTAAGAACATTTTCATAGAAAGGAAAGAACTCTTCTAAACAATAACTCCCCTGAAACAAACATAAAATTCTAACTATCTGATAAACTGGCTGGGTGTGGTGGCTCATGCCTGTAATCCCAGGATTTAGGGAGACCAAGGTGGGTAGATCACTTAAGGCGACGATTTCGAGAACAGCCTGGCCAACATGACAAGAGCGAAACTCCATTCCCCCGCAAAAAAATTTAAAAAAAAAAAAAAAAGATTCAGTGGCCCCATCTTCTCAAAAGGAAGAAAAGTCATGATTGATTGGCAACGCATATCACATAGAAAGTAGCAACAAAAGTGCCAAGTATTTCTTACCTCCAACATTTGAGGGCATTTAGAGTTGTCCCCTCTGTTGATGTTCTATGGTTTCTAAGGATTCTTCTCTGATTACTCTGGAGCCATTCCTGATGGATTTAACACTTTTTTTTTTTTGAGATGGAGTCTTGCTCTGTCACAAGTGCAGGCTGGAGTGCAGTGGCGTGATCTCGGCCTACTGCAACCTCTGTCTAACAGAGTAGCTGTGATTACAGACACCCACCACCACGCCCAGCTAATTTTTTTAATTTCAGTAGAGATGAGGTTTCACCATGTTAGCCAGGATGGTCTTGATCTCCTGACCTTGTGATCCGCCCACCTAGGCCTCCCAAAGTGCTGGGATTACAGGCATGAGCCACCGCACCCAATAGGATTTGACACTTTTTAATAGCTCTATAGACTGCATTTCTCTTCTGTGTCACACTTCTTTGTTACAACAAACATTTACATGATTGTGTTCTGTATACTTTGTATCTACCAAATTAGTACTGGAAATCTGGTGAAGGGCCTTATTGTTTTCAGGCTATACTGTTAAGAACAAAAGCAAAGTAATATAAAGGACATTTTTCTACAAAATAATATTATCACACCTAAAAAGATAATAATGCTCTATTATCATCTAATACAATGTTCATATTCTAATTTTCCCTATTTTTAAAAAGTATCTTTTATAGCTGATTTGTTTATTCTGGTATCTCATAAAGGATCATACCTCACATTTGATTGTTATATTTAAGTCTCTTTGAACCCAGAATGGTCTCCCTTGCTGCATAATTTCCCCTGAGATAAACCTGGGGTTAATTTTCTCCTTGAATGTCTCACCATTTGAGTGTGTCTAATTCTTTCCACATATGTGGTCTTTCTATTTCCTCTATCCCTTATATTTCCTGTAAACTGAGAAGATAAACCTAAGGGGCCTGAGTCTATGATACTCTGCAAACATCTTCAGAATACTTTCTAAGGCTTTAAAAGTTGACAGCACTGATTTTAAAACACATGTATTTCCTTTCTTTGTAGTCCATATAATAACGGTGCATTTCCCAATCAGTGGCATCTTAGTTCAATAAATTATCATATATCAAACTCCAATTCAAAATCTGCATTTTCCTTGATAGAGGAAGCACTGCTATTACTGATAATCACTACCATCATTTTTTTGATTTGCTATTGGAATAAAAAAAAAAGGAGAGAAGGAGGAATACAGGAAGCAGAAGTAGAAGCAACATTTCTTCTTACATAACTGTAAAACGAATAGGATGAGACACACCAGGACACACGAAGGGCAATTTCCTAAGATCAAAGTAATAGCCCAGCGAAATGGCTCATGCCTGTAATTCCAGCACTTTGGGAGGCAAAGGCAGGCGGATTCGAGACCAACCTGACCAACATGGTGCAGCCCCGTCTCTACTAAAAACACAAAACTTAGCTGGGTGTGGTAGCAGTCCCAGCCGCTAGGGAAGCTGAGGCAAG